TTATAGAATCAGATTGTCAGAGTACTTTGGTTACCAAGGTGATTATTCTTGATGTGAATGTGTTCTAGTAAATTATTAAGGTCATCTCATTAACAAGATGAAATCCATAGGAAATTTGTCTAAGATTTACAATTGAAACACAGTTGTTCATTGAAATCTACTGTTTCATGATTGTTTTTTACACGACTAGGATTTATAGTATAAAAGCACGTTATTTTGTAATTACCAGTAACTTTTCAAAACTACATTTGAACGGAGTGAACAAACGAAAAAGTAGATTTGTCAAACTACCCTAAAATAATACTACACTGACAAGTCAATCAGATTAAAGACAACTGCTCATAAACTTTTGTGAGGAATTCACGACGTGATGACAGATAGCTTATACTTCATTAAAAGAGTACTTGAGATGTGGCATTGCCTTGTAAAAGATACTTATTAGGTATCTCGAGGTCTTCCTTGAAATATGAATGACTGATACATAAAATTCACCTATGCGTGATATGGTAGGTGCAATTGTAGACTAATGTTGATACGGCCGATGTAGTTATAACGATCGGATCATTTATAGAGTCGTTCAAGATCGTCAGTATGATAGTTTATCCAAAACAACATAAAAGAAATTCGAACAGTACTGGGTGAGTTCACAATCAAATTAAAATAAAATAGCCAGGAGTAATGATAAACCGATCATTAGTGTACATTTAGTTTTTTATGCCATAAAAATAAATAATCCGGATGTGTCGTCGTAAATGTTAGCTGGTTTGAGGTAGTCAGTAGGAAACGCTGAAAGACACACTTACAATCATGATGAAGCTAATTATTCCTGTGGGATTAGAACCCCGGTCACCCAGCTTCGAAGTTACCACTGGTCTATTCGGGCAGCTACTGAAATCCTATAAGACTGAGACATTTACCCTAACTGAACACTTAGTAGTAATTAGTATTACCTTTATCTAATCCTTAGTGTGGATTGGATCCTATTGATCATGTTACAAAGTGGCTACTAGTTTATGTGACTCAACGCCGTGTACACCATGTCGAGATGCTAAGTGGTTTGAGATAGCCACTACGCAACTTTATTGCCTGAAAAACAAACATCAGTTAGATGTTGCATCAGGTTCTTCTAACTGAGACCAACCAGTATGAATATCTAAGTCCTACAGGAGGTCCGATATAGTGAGAATAGTTTAGTCGGAACCACTCTAATCCAACGGCTACTGTTCTGACTCAACGAACCAGGGTAATATTCCTGGACACTATTGGGCAAAATGGCCATAGAATGGATATTATACATAAGAACACAAAATGTCTTATGACTGCTGATCATCCGATCAAGATAGATATATTATTCAAAGCCGTCTACATGATAAGCAAAACCTACCAATAACAGTATGTTTACATTACCCATGTATTGGTAAAATCTTTGTTATACAGATAGAAAAATGAAAACTAAGTGTATAAACAAATGCTGTTCGACTCCGATGAATTAGTTACTTGAATAGCTGTACTTTTATTTATTTTATAAATTATATTCTATATCTTTACCATACTGTTGAAATCTTAAACAGATTTATTCGTATTTTTCAATAGTCTACTTAAGTACAGTTCATTTTCAAAATATACTTTAACATATGTTATAACTTGTGACCTGAGTGCCTTGTTAATCTATAACGTAACGATACCGCCAATTAGAGAGCAGTGACTTATCGATCGGATCAATGGCGCATAAACTCATATGGACAGCCAAGAGTCCTGATAGGTCCTGCTTCCCACCTAGCCCAGCTAATTAAGTCCAGAACACCAATCCGAGCCTCTGCGATATGAATCATGTTTCAAACATACGGGGTTTATATACCAATCAAACAGACCACATCGTCCCATAAGATAGAAAATAACATTTGTACAAAATTTGGTCAAATGTGGCTGTGAATGTGGAAGGCAGTGACTAACAGACAGGGCATAATTGAAGAATGATAAAACGTATAATAATGGTTCATAGTTCAAAATAAAGCTTATAATAAAAGGAATATGAATAGTTTAATTATTTAACAATTATACGATAAAAATATACGTTTAGTATTGATCCATAAATGGATCCCAAAGTTACCATTCATTATGCTTATCGAGACCTAACACACCTCCCTTTTTTGATGATTCGGATTTTAAATATTCCGAGTTTAAGTGTATAGTGGATCACTATGATAATCAACGTCCATTAAAACTACACTAGGTTCTTGATTTCAATTGCATAATTATTTTCCTAAACCTAATTTCTACATTTTTTTCGGTTACTACTGACGATTAAACTCGGTAACGATCACTTTAGCTGATCTAATTTTATTGACTAAAATACATGTTCACCAATGTCGATTACATAATCAAACAACAATAATATCAGAAAAGTTTCGTTGAAGATTTTAATTATTTTATTGGTTTCACATTTATACCGAAATAGCATTATGTCTGACGGCTATAAACTTCAATTAACTGTAGCCTGCTTTCCTAATAAATCTTTAGACTGAATAATTATTTTTAATACAATCTATTTTGTAATCAGTTCGATTCCTAAAATTTTGTACATAAGATCTAAGTAACCGTTCATTTATATATAGTACATTATCTCTAGTTTTAAGAACTTTCTTTTTTTTTCTTTATAAAGATCCATCTTCTCTTCTAATCTAAGGTTATGTATTAGTCATTATCATTGTTACTATTCGTCTTCTTCACTTGAAATGATTTCTTTTAAACAATATTTTTTTCTAAATCGTGTTCTCAGAAGGTAATGTATTCTTCGTTATAAACTATTTATGTTAATAGAATAAATTCATGAACATCTAATTCTCTCCCAGACATTGGATCATTTAGTTCGATAATTAATTAGAAGAATTAAGTCAATTTTTTCAAGTACATTATATAATCATACTTTTATGATTTCTGCAGAAAAATGTAGTCTTATCTTTCAAAATAATAGACCATTCAAATTAAGGGAATTCTACGCTTTGCTTAAATATGTTCAGTGATACTATTCGAATTAACCAAATATATTCCATAGGACAAATAACTATAAAAATTAAATATTTCCTTCTTTGAACAATTCAACTATGGGCAAGTGATCAAATTAATAATATATTTGTTTTATAAGTATGACTACTTATTTGAGAGAAATCAAAATAAAATGTATAGATTTAATTCTTTCGGAATATAACCTGTACCATATATGAAGTATGATCCTCAATTATTCAACATCAAGATTACAGTAATTAGGTTATATCAGCCAGCAAATGAACTATTAACATCCAACTCCTAAAATCTCTCCATTATTGACAAATTATACTGTAAATGTGAAGTATCAAGTCTAATACTGACTTGAGGTACATTATAACAGTGCTTCAAAATCGTAATGATTCCCAAGAAAAACAAGAAATACGATACGACTAACTTGTTTATATAATAACAAAAATAAATTTGGGAACAAAGTAAAGGAATGAATTAAAAGAGATAGTGACCAATCAGAGAATAACTCAAGTTATTGCAGCAATTATGAAAATTAAGTCATTACTGGTTATCTTGAGTGTTGAATAAATAAATAGAAAAACCGAAGACAATTTTAGACCTTCCTAAAAGAATGTAAAGCTGAAATTTCAGAAATTTTAATAGTATTCTTTACTTTTATTTAAACAATTTGAAAGTCAGCTCGCTGAGTTTATGGTGACGGGAATTTTCCACAGATTTTCTTCACCTAAAAAGATTTTACACCAATTATAACCAAAGTTTTCACTGAACAGTTCTGGTTTATAACTCAATAGAATCAAAAAAACTGAATCCTAAATTGAAATGACTAATTACTTCGCTAATTTTTGTCTATCAATTTCGAATCACCTTATATAATTCAGATCATGAAAGTCTTCTTCATCTACACATGGTGATGTGATGGTTTAATAGGTAGGGAGTTCAGCCACTAGGCCTCAGGTTCAAATCCCCCTTCATCCACTTTGTTTTAAGCAACCGGATAGTATCATTACCTTTCCCATTTAGAGTGAGACTCACACCCAAATAGCTGGTAAAGTTGTTTCGCAGTTATTTGATGATATACATTTCATACATAGCTGTAATCGACAGTAAGCTTTAGAAATCAAAGTTTAGAATTACACAATGAGGTATCCTCATCATGGACCAAAATGACAGAGAGAAAACAACAGTAATCGAAGTACTCAGATAATTCCCACGAAAAAAGTATTCAATGAATTATTAAGTTGACCGGTTTAGATTTCTTGTTGATAATTTTATCAAGTCATGATATCTTTATACTATCTTTTTTCATAGAAGAAGTCAAGTGTTTTAATCTGAAGTTTATCAACTAATTTTCTTTTAGCAGATACCATTTTCTTATAGTATTTAAATTAGTGGAAAAACGTAGTTTACTTTCGGGAAAACCTTGGCCTCTTATCAATGTGTTTCATGTCAACTGAAAAGACAAAAAGATGAGGTTGGCAATGTAGTTCCCAAAACAACTTCTCCGTCTCATTAAACTATTGGTAAATTCATTATTATAATGGCCAAAAAATTGCCTTGATGTAACTAGAAAGTGAGGAGCAGTTTGTTGATGATCAGTAAATATGTGTGTAAATGCCTGAAGTAGTATTCAATTAAGGCTTACACTTAGTAGTATACTTTATAAGACAAAAAAGCATGATTATACATATATATGTATTATTATTTATTATAAATTTATGTCGAGTATGTCCAACTACACTTTAAAGAAAAGAAATTAAAGATATCCATATGATAATAATAATAATAACAAGGGAAAGCAGTAAGAGATTAATAAAGAAGAGTAACGCGTAGGATAACACTTGGAAAATGTACAAAAAATATATAAGTCAGTAGTAAACAAACAAACAAATGAAAGAAAGAAACAAATAAACAAAACAGAACAATATGAGTTACAAGACATTATATATATATATATATATATATATATATATATATATATATATGAACATCGTCACTGTATATATTATCCTACATGTCTGGCATATATATATGTACAGAAATACAATCCAATGAGTAGGCAAAGGTATTAAGTTGTTACTGAATACAAATTTCACATTACAGAGTATGTTGTAAAGGTATCCCCATTAAACGATAATACAACCAAAAGAAACAAATGTTGGCAAGAATTACATAAGTACCATTGAGAAACTGTGTATATAACATAATAAGGACTTTTTAAAAAGACAACCCTAAAGGTGATATATAGCTGAAATGTTATGATAAGTGTATTTCATGTATGTGTGTGCATAATTACAGGTAGACTATAAGGGTGACCATGAACGCGTGTAATTTAAAAAAAAGGAAAGGATTGATGGTATTGGAAACAATCCCAGTAAGAAATACAATTGACAAAAAAACGGAGGATTAGCAAACAAAAAAGAACAACTAATGTTGATAAGGAGTAAGAACGTTCTGCAAGAACAAAATAAATCAAACAAGTAACAGATTTGAGCTTTTTCTTCCAAAAAATACTACTGTTTGGATCGATATTTTGTAATAGATGTCGCACAAAAATCAATGATGATAGTAGAAGCAGTATGATGTACATAATTGTGATGAATTGCAATGAGCAAAGCATCTAAGAAGAAGCCATTGAGACGACACAGATAATACCATCAGAAGACAATAGAAAATGATATAACCTAGGAACAGAAAACACTGATATATATATATATATATATTCTTCAGTTAAACAGTAACAAAATCAATGAAGCTAATTATTTATCTTAAGCAGAGACGGATGGTTGTTAGCAATGAGATGCAAAACAAGTGTTTCGTCCTATCTGAGAATCGTCAGCTTCATGTACCTGCATCGTAAAGTTGATGTTCACTCTGGAATTCGAATCCAGTCCCTTTTGACTCAGACACCAACGCCTAATTCACTTAGATTATGAGTCCAGATAGCCACTGACATGTGCAATATGGTGAATTTTAATTCCGGAGTGAACACCGACTCTGGGATTCAGATACATTCAGCTGACAAATTCCGATTAGAACGAAAGGCATGCTCTGGGTTCCACGACTAACCATTATCCATTTCTGCTTAAATGCTTGTGACTTAATAGTAATATCGAGGCAATCCGTACAGAATCCATATATGATAAGTCAAGAAAGATTGACCAATGACAGTGTTGAACATCGATTGGAAGAATCAAACGACTAAGACTAATGAATCAATTATTTATCTTGTTTCGACCATTTTCAGTCTTTGTTTCTAATCAACATCATTGGTCATAACAAGTGTAAGAGTATAAGTGAAAAACAGGTTGCTCCAATCAATCGATTGAGGATCCCATCAGTCAACCGATCTCTCCACTGCATAAAACCAATCAATTAGTATGAGCACTAACTGTTTCCTAACTGTGACTCTTATTCTGACATCACGGCACGGTTCAGTCATGCTGATTGGAATGATTATTTATTCAAGTTATACCAAGTCAGTTGAAATACCTAAACTAAATTACTAAGAGCAGTCACCCGAAAGTTTGATTGTGAAACGGAACTAAAAACTATACTGCAGTAAAACAGTGATAAAGTGCTTACTATTGAAATAAACTTTTCCGTTGTTCCTTACCTTACAATCATCGGAAGTTAAAAAGTCACCTCAGTAGTTTATTTGACTAATGATGAAGTTTTAAAACATGCCTTTAGTTGTGTAAAACTAGAGTTCAAACACTTTGTAAATCAGGTTTCTCTCTTAGGCTTTGGTGTTATAATTTATTCGACAAAACGAGACATTTTTCCGAGCTTCTTCAAGAGTAACAAATTTTTGTAGGTATGAGCTTATAAATTCGAATCGCTAGAACACTTACACTACAATTTGAAAGCTTTTCTTTTTGTGGTTTCACCGGGCGAAAATGATGTTGAATCGTTTTCTGAGGATGAAACATTGAATAAACGAATGATGCAGATAGCCTACCAGGTTAATTTCTATTAAGGGGCTCGAATTGGTTATGTTTGAACCCCACTCCATCTACTTCAGTTTGGGTAATAGGATAGTATCATTAACCCTCACAAAGAGTGTGGATCATATCCAAGTAGCTGATGAACGAGTTTACATAGTATTTCATTTAAATAAATTTAGGTAAAATTAACCTTTCTCAAATTCTCTAATATGGTCACTCGCTCTTCTTGATAATTCGAAAATGGTTATACTCACAGCTATTATGCGACGGGAACAGCACCTAAAAGAGGGAGACAGTTAACACTGATGTTATTTGATTAAATCTGATTGGATCCAATCTAAGCGAATTGGGATTAACTCGTTTACGAGGTACAGACTCGAGTACTTGGCTTCAAGTTGCATTCTAAATTTGAGGGCTAGAGGTAATATCCAGCTATAAAAATCGAAGTACATTGACGGGGGATCAAACCTGATTATAACTAGTACTCTTTATTTATATATACATATTGTTACTGACAGTCACGCGTGTCGTAAAACCTGGCACATTTGTGCATTAGTTCGATTCGTCATATCATATCAGCAAGGTACCATATAAAATATTAGGCATTTCAGTCAGACATTCAGCTACAACGTAGGACCAACCACATATATGCATCGGTCCAAGTTGCCACACCTCATTAGCACAAAAAAGATGAACACCAAATTCATAGAGGCAGTTACTTCAATCGTGGTAATATATAAAAGAAAGATTGTGTATAACGATATATTACGGAAAGAAATAATTATTTGGTAGAAAGAAAGATATGAAGCGATTTTAATCTCATAGTTCAAAGGAAGACAAAGAGTGTATACACCGACGCCATTGTGAGCCATGTCACCAAGAGTCTCTAACCATTGATTATGATAGTCAAGCGGACCCCAACCAAGTAGTCTGTATCTCCAAACATGACTCAGACTAGAAGTTAGTGACTTCAAGCACTGATGACACGTCTTGGTTTGGCCAACCCTAACGTTCTTTCAACCGTCTCCAACACTAGTCAGCATTGGGCGTCTTGGTAATCAGTGTTCAGGCATACGTAGCACGCGGCCCAACCATCTCAGTCGATGAAGATTCACAACCTCATCAACTGATTTATCACCATTCCTTAGTACCTTACGTCTAACCTCACTATTACTTACCCGGTGATCCCAGCAGATGCGAGCAATATTTCTAAGACATCTGTTATCGAATACTAGTAACTTACAAGTATCTTCTACTCTTAATGGCCACGTTTCGCAGGCATAAAGTAGAGCAGAACAAACTACTGAGCAGTATACTCGTCCTTTAATTGATAGACGGATATCTCGTCTTCGCCATAGGTGACGTAAGTTGGCAAAAGCCAAACGAGCTTTTCGAATCCGTGCTGAGATTTCGTCAGACACCAACCCATTATGGCTGATCAGACTTCCAAGATAATTAAAGTTGTCAACGCATTCGACTATTTCACTCCCTATCCTTAATTTAGTTGTTGACGCAGGCCAGCCCTGAGGCAACAACAACTGTTAGGGATTTAAGTTGGGATAATTTCATTTTTTTAGGAATTTACGAATATTCATAACTTTATAATGCAAAGAGAAACAAAACAAACTGTAAAGTGCTTACCATTGAGTCAATTAATCTGATCATCATAACATTGTTATTGTTGTTGTAGATGTTGACGATGATATTATTGATGGCATAGAATACGGCAATGAACAAAAAGAGATTGTAGAATTCGATGTCTGTATATTAAGGGTAGTTGATTGTACTGTACACACAATGTCGTTGTTATTACAATTGATGTTATCTTCATTCATAATATTAGGATAATATAATTCTGTTAGAGGAGTCGTCATCACAATTGCATTATTATCACTAGTCATGTTACAAATAGTAGTAGTATTGGCAGCCATACCACCAGTAGTCATAATTGAATTATCATTATTCTTTTCAATATGTGAATCAGATATTTCAGAACACTCATTATTATTACTGTTAGTTTGATAAGTGGAGAAGACGGATGAATGTTCTTTATCCAAACAATGAATTAAATTCGATGTGTACGATACAGGTATTGAAGATGACAATGTTGTAGTTACTGATGTCGGTGAGGACGATGATTGGACAACAAAATAATTCGATGTATTTCCAAGAACAATATTGTGAGTTGTTGTTATTGCTGTATTATGATGAATCAATGCGAAATCAGATGACAATGATGATGATAATGAAAAGGAATATGGAAGACTGACTGCATCACCAACCTTATTATCACAGTCGTCATGTGTTGTATTCACTGGAATTGATGAAGATATTAGTTTATGCGAAGATTGTTGTAGTGGCATAGATGATTGAAAAATGAGTGATGAATCCGTTGTAGTACTATTATTATTGTCATTATTACTATTAGTATTATTGTTACCAATACTATCAATGCTGATAGTAATATTGTCTACGAGAGAATTATTCATTCTAAAATCAGTTTGGTTTTTAATAAGATTTTTCACTACATCCAGTGATCCAATTGTCAATGATAATTTTGTTGGTGATGATGTGGTGAAAGCGACAGAGGAAGAGGATACCGGCTGTTGTTGAATGTTAAATAACAAATTTCTTGATGAATCAATTAATTCAGATGAAGGAAATGTATTATTTGCAGCCAATATATTGCCTCGTGATGAGGATGATGATGATCGGATCGGTATACCAAGACCACTATCACTACCAACACCAACAATTATTACAGGTGTTGAAACCGTTAGCCCTATACCAGTTTTGTTGATAATTTCAGCATTGCTATCATTATTATTATTGCCACAACCGCTGTTAGCACTGACAACAATCACACCTGTATTATGATTACTACTGTTTAATGCACTCGCTGCAGCCGCTGTCGCACTGGCCACAGCATTTGCATCCGCAGCTGCTATTCTTGCATTTAAATTGACTGTGGAACTGCTACTATTATTATTATTACTGCTATTACTATTGTTATTACTACTATTACTAGTAATAGTACCAGTTACATTAGACAATTGACTAAGAAAACCACTTGGTTTCGATATTATAAATGTTGATTGAATAGAACAAACGGGAATGTTATTTGTATCGTATATAGATAATGGATTTATTAAATCGCCAACAACTGATTCAGCTGCTACAATCATCGCAGTCAATGGTGTAACGGAACGATGTAGAATATTTGGTTTCGTGTCTTGATTAGATAAAAATGCATCAGAAACTGTTGAACTAGTACAATTTAATAATAAACTATTATTTGTAGATCGATTATTTCCAATAATAAGTCGTTTATTATCAAAACTAGCAATATATGCAGTAGCAGATGGTTTCGGTGGTAGCATAATAGAATTATTTTTATCATTATTATTAGTATTGAGTGAATCCATCGTTGAACATGTATTCACATTGCAAACTGATATGATTAAATCAGATATTGGCTTATTAGACGCACCGATTGTTCTATCTAATTGCATATCACCAAAATCTTGATGGGATGATACTGACGGTGAAATAGTTGATGATAATAACATACAACCTGATGATGATAAGGATGGAAATGATGTAGACAATGTATTTGTTATATCACATTCAAGACTACATGTTAAATTATTTTTAATTGAGATTTGATCTAACGTATTTGATCGTGATAAAAGGTAACTGAGATTAGTATCAGCTTTAGTGATTTTTGATACTAAACGACAAGTTGTATTATTAATTACTGACTGACATGAAATATCAGAAGAACATGTAAGTTGAAGATGACTATTTGAAAGTGACTGGATGTTCGTTGAAGGTTTATAAGAAGATAATGTAACATAAGAATCAGTTAGGATATGTGTATCATGGACATCATTACAACTAGCAATACTCGACCGAATAAATTTAGCATCATTAGACATAGACGATGTATTTTTTGTTATAGATGATGAACTAACGACTATTTGATGGAATGTTGTTGATGGATAATTGGATTGTTGACTTGAAGGATTTTGAATAATCGACGATGAAGATAAGTGAATTTGTTGATTGTTTACTAACGGATCAGTTTGGCAACGAGGAATTAGTCCACCAAATGATGATGATAAAATATTTTGAGTATCTATAATAGTATTATTATTACTACTATGATTATCAAATCTTAATGATGTAGGTGGTGGTAGAATAGTAACTGATGCATTAATATTGTTATTATTACCATTTTTGATATTATTATTAGATAAGGCAGTGGCAGCCGCTGCGGCAGCAACAGCAGCTTTCAAACTATTGCGTAATGTACTTACATATTGAATTTGATAAGCATCATAATCAAGTTCTTGACGTAAAGTTCCACTTAGAATAAACTCTTCATGATGAACAGCTAGAAGTTTACAAAGAAAGAATCAACGGAAAAGAAGAAATAATAGTGAACCAGAAAAAAAGCATAGAGATGATGAGGTGAAAATATTCAATTTACAACACATGACCAAAACTGACAGATTCAAACTGAAAACAACATAACTGATAATTCTTGATAATCTATTCTCTACTTTACGCTTGACGATGAAAAATATAAGTAATTTTGTTATAAAATCAACATGATTACAAAATGGATTTTTATTTATATAAATGATTGTTTTCTAGAGACAAATTGAACACCTTAAGCTATGAGTATGTCTACTATATAGAAAGAAAGACGGAAGGAACATAGAAAACTCATGTGCTCACATTCTTTGAAGGCAGAAGTATTACTAAAAAATCAAACTTTGAAGAAAAAATCTCGACTAAACAAGCTAAAATTTAAAGATCTCAAATTGCGTGTCCATCAGCTCATAATAATAATAATAATCCATTGTACAGTTAAATTGATATTAATTCATCGGTAAATGACTAGATGCTAGAACATGGCTACAGCATAAATTATGGGAGAGTTAGAAGTTCACTAAGTAATAGTATAATTAGTGATGAGTTATCTAGTCTGTAGTAATGAGCGAATTTTATTGACTGATGGTGATTTAAGATGGTTAAGGCTAGTTAGCAGATAGTTCTAAAATCGAAGTTTTATAATGAATGATATCCGTCAAAAAAGTGGATCAGTCAGTCATGAGCAATATAGGACCGAGCATATATATGTATCAATTTAAGCTGCCACATCACACGATACCAGTTCAAGGAGATGGAATTAACACGATAACAAAACAACAACGAAGTTAAGAATATCAGCGATAGTAAACAAGATAGATTCGAAATAGATAATAAAATTCAAGAGTAAGGAATGAATAAAAAGCTTTGAATCCACTTCACTCCAGCCAGCATTACAAGTCGAAGTAGGCAATGGTTGTGGATACGTAACACTTCTCAAAATCACCTCAATCAATGACGACTCACTATTTTGTCAACTAGTTATCTTGGACTAGTGCACTGTGTCTAACCTCAGCACTAGTAATTCAGTGGTTCCAGGATATATAAGCAACGCTTCGAGAAGAATAAACCTGAAATTTTGATCAAAATGGTAGTGAATGAAAGCAGCCAGGATTTTTGGGAAAAATGTTTAAGTGGGATTGTAGATACACCCCTTGTTGATGATGATTGTCGGCTAACATGAAACAAATATTCAAATTCTCCTGTCGATTCCAACTAGCCAACAGCACCAGATAAGTAATTATATAGTTGATAATTAATTATTAATTCTCTCCCAATTATAGTTTTAGCATTTTAACGTATTTAGGTTTATGGTTAATTCATAGGGAGAAAACGATTACAAGATGACGAAGTAGTCAGGTAGTTCAATGAAAAATAACAATTTTATTCCTCAACACATCTGTGATTGAAGTATCCATTAAAATACTTAACATCAACAACTTTCTGTTATAATGTGACGGGTAAATAATAAAATATAACTATCTAAAGCGAAATAAACGAAACGGGGTTCGAACCCACAAACCGTTAGTAACAAATTAGGTTCTATTGATATACAAATATGGTAAAATAAAAAAAACCTTACCCTTGTTGCCTGTTTTAGTACGCATTAAATAATTAGCCACATGACTATCATCTTCATGACAAATAATCAATTGTTTCGGTTGTGCCAATAACGCCATCTTTTGTGTTGGCCGCCTTTGACGTATTATACCATGACCAGCTTTAATTAATGCAATACATATTTCACGATGGCATGCACCTGGTGAAAACCAAAATTCTAAACCAGCAAATAGACCAGCTTCTGGTCCAATCATTTGACGTTTACGGGCTTTACTAATTGACTTTTTCAAATCAATACCTAATTGAGTTTCCGAATCTGGATCAGATAAAATCCAAGGTGTCTCATCTGAGGTAGAAATACAGAACAACAACAGTGAAATCATTTTAAATAGAAATAGTTGACAATTTTTAAGATAATAAACAAGAACAATATACATGAATAGTTGAGTAAAGAAGTATATAGTACTGGTGTTAGGCGGTTGGATAAGTCGACGGGAAACACTGATGCAAGTTTGAATCCCACAAAGAACAGTAATTCCGTCAAAATCGTAGGTATGCCTCACTGTCACGGAGCTTCCTTTCGACTATCTCCAGTCGACCAACATATCAATATAGTCCAAGCGATGTTGAGTCACTTAAACTAGGGGACATACTGTACCTTGATCAACACTAAAGGACTAAACAAACATGACATTGGTTACTATTCAGTGATCAGTAAATATCAATAACTAATGAAATATGTTTCTAGAATACAGTTTTCTACATTCAGGTTTTGAGATACAATGTTGATACACTTACTTACTTACTTACACCTGTTACCCCCAATGGAGCATAGGCCGCTGACCAGCATTCTCCAACCCACTCTGTCCTGGGCCTTCTTTTCTAGTTCCATCCAATTCTTGTTCATTTTTCTCATGTCTATCTCCATTTCTCGGTGTAATGTGTTCTTTGGTCTTCCTCTTTTCCTTTGACCTTCAGGATTCCATGTGAGGGCTTGTCTTGTGACGCAGTTCGGTGCTTTCCTCAATGTGTGTCCTATCCACTTCCAGCGCTTCTTCCTGATTTCTTCCTCCACTGGGATCTGGTTTGTTCTTTCCCACATTAGGTTGTTGCTAATAGTGTCCGGCCAATGGATCTGAAGTACTTTGCGTAGACAATTGTTAATAAACACCTGTATTTTCTGGATGATGGCTTTCGTAGTTCTCCAGGTTTCTGCCCCATACAGTAGAACTGTCTTGACATTTGTATTGAAAATTCTGACCTTGGCGTTGGTTGACAGTTGCTTTGAGTTCCAGATGTTCCTCAGTTGTAAATATGCTGCTCTTGCTTTGCCGATCCGCGCCTTCACATCTGCATCCGATCCACCCTGTTCATCAATGATGCTGCCCAAATACGTAAAGGTTTTTACATCTTCCAAATCTTCTCCGTCAATTGTGATTGGATTGGTGCATTCTGTGTTGTATCGGAGAATCCTGCTTTTCCCTTTGTGTATATTGAGACCTATTGCTGCTGAGGCTGCTGCCACACTGTTTGTCTTCTCCTGCATCTGTTGTTGCGTTTGGGATAGAAGGGCAAGATCGTCTGCGAAGTCTAGATCATCCAACTGCATCTTAGATGTCCACTGTATCCCGCGCTTTCCTTCAGACGTTGACGTCTTCATGATCCAGTCGATCACCAGGAGAAAGAGAAAGGGTGAGAGTAAGCAACCTTGCCTGACACCGGTTTTCACTTTGAACGACTTTGTCAACTGTCCTCCATGCACAATTTTGCAGTTTAATCCATCATATGAACTCTGTATGATATTGACTATCTTCTGAGGCACGCCGTAGTGTCGAAGACGTTTCCATAGTGTTGTTCTGTCCACGCTATCAAATGCCTTTTCGTAGTCAATGAAGTTGATGTAGAGTGATGAATTCCATTCAAGTGATTGTTCCACAATCATCCGTAGAGTTGCGATTTGGTCTGTACACGATCTATCCTTACGGAATCCTGACTGTTGGTCACGAAGTTGGGCGTCTACGCAGTCCTTCATCCTGTTTAACAATACCCTGTTGGAGACTTTTCCCGGTATTGAGAGAAGAGTGATGCCCCTGTAGTTATCACACTTGCTGAGATCGCCTTTCTTCGGTATTTTGATCAGAAGTCCTTCTTTCCAGTCTGTTGGTACTTGTTCCTCATCCCAAATCTTATTGAAGAGAATGTGGAGTATCCTTGCAGTTGCCGCTACGTCTGCTTTCAGTGCCTCTGCTGGGATGTTGTCCGGTCCTGCTGCTTTGCCACTCTTGATTTGTCTGATGGCCATGCTGATTTCTTCAATTGTTGGTGGGCCAACATTGATTGGGAGGTCCGTGGGTGCTGCTTCCATGTTGGGTGGGTTAAGTGGAGCTGGTCGATTCAACAGTTCTTTGAAGTGTTCTACCCACCTGTTTTGTTGCTCTTCAATGTTGGTGATTACCTTGCCTTCCTTGTTTTTCACTGGTCGTTCTGGTTTGCGGCGATTCAGTCAGTCAGTCAGTAACAACGTAGAACTTCGTACGTACGTACATCAGTTCGAGTTGCCACACCACATTAGCACAGAGATGCACTTGTCGATTCAAATCCCGTAGTGATAGAGGTAATAAGAGTATAAGTAGTAATCGGGAAGATTAGGGTTTGGAGATGTTATTTAAAGAGTATAATACAGTGAAAGAAATTTGGAAAGAGGAAAAAAGGGACATGAAGAATTCAGAAGATTAGAGTTTGGGAGAACACAGAGAGTGGATGCACCTGCGCCATTGCAAACGATTTTGAGCCATGTCATTCAGGGTCTCTAACCATCGGTTGCTGTCATCTCGCGGTCCCCAACCAGGTAGTCTACACCTACCAACATGACTCAGTCCACTTGTCAGTGACTTCATGGATTTGTGCCATGTTTTGGTTTGGCCGCCCCTAGCTTTCTTCCAACCTACTCCTATACCACTGAACATAGCACGTCGAGGCAAATAATTTGCGGCGATTACCAGAGAGTTTCTTTGTCGTGTCATACAGTTCTCTCATGTTTCCTTCTCTTGCAGCCTTTTCCGCCGTCGTTGCTAAATCTTCCACATATTTACGTTTGTCGGTTCTGATGCTCCTCTTCGCTTGTTTGTTTATTTCCGTGTATTCAGCTTGTGCCTTGGCTTTTTCTGCTCTTGTTCGGCTGGTATTGATCGCTGCCTTCTTGTTCCTCCTTTCTTGAATCTTATCCAGTGTATCAACAGTGATACATTCCTTGTGGTGGTGCTTCTTGTGACCCAGGACCTCATGACATGTTGAAGTGATTGCCTCTTTGATCCCCTTCCAGTTGCTCTCCGCAGTAGTTCCTTCTCCATTGAGTAGATCATGAAAGGCCTGGAACTTGTTGCTGAGGACTATCTTGAATTTGTTGAGTTTGTTAGTATCCTGGAGAAAGGCCGTATTGAACTTTTGTGATACTGTCTGCCACGTTGTCCAGTGCTTCTTGAGTTTCAATTTCATCTTGGCGACCAGCAAGTGATGATCTGATGCTATATCAGCTCCTCTCTTGGTTCTCACGTCCTCTATAGTCCTCCTGAACGTTTTGTTGATGCAAATATGGTCGATTTGGTTTTGTGTAGAGTGATCCGGTGAAGTGCATGTGGTTTTGTGTATGCGTTTATGTGGGAATATGGTGCCGCCTATGACCAGCTTATTGAAGGCACATAGATTTGCAAATCTCTCACCATTTTCGTTTCTTTCTCCCAGTCCGTGTCGTCCCATGATGTCTTCATATCCAGTGTTGTCCGTTCCAACCTTGGCGTTGAAATCTCCCATCAGAATGGTCAGGTCCTTTGTTGGGCAGGTGTTAACGATATTGTTAATCTAAATCGATAAAAGTGAATCAACCAATAATATTTGAGTTTAATGCCCACAACTGAAGACCCGTTTAATCTCAGACTGGTAATTATCCTGACCCCTTTTGTTTAACTAATAGTCATGAAATTGCAGCAGTAATATAAATATGACTAATCTTTGTTATTTATTCATTTCATTTCAATATGTGTGTAATTATTGTTCTCTTTGTAATTGAGTATTGTTTTGCGTTTTTTTTACTATGTGAGATAGTACAGAGACTTATTCAATATTACCCAGCTGATAATGCAGAAGTGGGATAGGGTTCGAGTACCTAGTTTATAAGTTGGGATCCAAGTGCGTTGATCACCACTATGCACGCATCCATGATAGGAATGAAAAACATTTGTCGTTTAAAATATATATATATATATATATATAATCACTAGTGAGCACATGATAATTATCAGTATAGGGTTGTGGAGATATTTAAACCGTTGAATGACGGCTCAGTGGTCTAGAGGTAAAGCGTTAATGCGCGATATCGTGGATGCGCACTTCTGAAGAGTCCAATACTAGGACGAGATGACCATCTAGTGCTTCCAGGTACTCAATGGTAGTCTAACATTGATCGGTTCATGATCTTAATTAGAAACTCAACAATCTCTACAACCCTATACTGATAATAATCATGTGCTCACTAGTGACTAGCTTCGAGCGGTAATTCTAGGAATTCTAGTGAGAAGCTGTGACCAGAGAAGTCTAATCGAGTCGGGTGTGAGGCAGTTACCCATATAAGACAATGGAAGATGGTTGTGCGAAGTACTTGAATGATAAAGAATATTTGTAACCAAGATTCATCAAAGTAATCGATTAAACTACTCAGCTTAGGAAACAACAAATGAATTGAATAGAATATTCCGTTTTTATGATGAAAAGTGAAATGATTGTAGAAAAATGTTTTTACTACTAACTAATACTTCATAAACAAAATTAAGTAATTTGATAAGTAACAATACAGTTGTATTTAAAACAATTAATTTAATAGGATAATTATGAACACTCTTTAATGAGATCTAAGGAAATATTTAACTGATTAACTTTTAATAAAATCATGTGAATGATTTAACTACTGAATAGTAATGTAATTCAAAATAATAATAGTCTTACCTAACCAATAACCACACATAACAGAAGCTTGTATCCATTTTGGTGTTACAACATAACAGCCTAATGCAACAGCCATATATGTTTTTGGTGTACGAATTAGTCGCTTAGCTACTAAATGAGTAGCTTCTTCAGCTGAATCAACAATTTTACAATCAGGTAATTGTAAACATAATTCAGTTAAACTTAACCGTGATTCCAAATCAATAGCAGTAAATGTAATCCTGATCTCTGTACAAATAGGTGGAGGTAGTACCGTTGTGTCATCATGATGATGATTAGTTGATTGATTTTTTGATTCTGTAACTTCACTACAAACAGTATCAATAATATCATTGTTATTATCATTTATATTTTGTACAACGTCTTCTACAACTATATTATCATTAGTATCATCATCCATATGACTTGAAGATTCAGAAATATCCTCTTCTATTCCATTTAATTTTCCATCAATTTTAATTATAGGCATTGTTACTGAATTTTCGGCATCAAGTTTGATGTGACCATTCAACACGGAATTAGATACATTTTCAGTTATTTTACTTTCATACTGACATGTAGAAGAAGAAGACAAAGAAGGAGGTGTGTGCTGTGAAGAGAAAGAAGTGACTGGGCAGTAAGCAATGATATTAGTTATTTTCGAACTGGAATCAACTGAATTTGTTTCTATTGCACGTCGTTTACTATCCATCATCATATCATCTATAGGACTAGTGGCTAAGCGTTTACGAACTGCATCATCATTACCACATAAATGACTGGATTGGATGATTGAACAAACGTTTTCACTAGTAAATACTGTTGTTGTTTCTGTTGTGTTGTTTATATTGTTAGATTGAATAATATTGTCATGTAAATCTTTTACAATCACTGAATCAGTAGTAGTGGTAGTAACATCTGAAGAGACAATAGTCAATTCGTCAGTCATCACAATATCCGTATCTTTCTGAATTATCACTGAACTAGTCTCTGAAATAGATGACTCCATAGCATTGGCATTCACTTCAATTATAGAAGTCTGAGAAACTTTAGTCTCGTTGAATAAACAACCGTTAGAAACAGATGTTGATGATGATACTATGGCAATATCATCTACTTGTGGAACCTTATCGTAAATGTCGCTATCATTATTATCACTGTTATCAATATTATCCTTACAAACTTCATTATTACTAGTCTTCTCAGTACTCTCAATTTCGTCACGATCACCAATATCATTTGATTCAAATGTCTAAAAAATAACATAAAGTGTAAGAAGAAGCTTTAAGGAAAAAAGAAAAAGATGGGAGATTCTCTGTGCCAGTGTTTTTATCAATTAAAGGAACCATAGACAATTATTAAGGAATACTGGATAAGTGTATTGTTCGAGCGTAAGACTCGAATAGTGCGCACACGGGAACACATCAAGCATTGAGTTTCAGGACCCTTATTTCCCTCAGCTAATGAGTAACCACTAAATTGGAGTCTAATGTTTTATATTTTGGACCTCAGTCAGTCAGTCAGCTACAACGTCGGACCAGGCACATATGTGCATCGGTCCAGGTTGCCATACCGCATCAGCACAACAAGATGAACACCGGATTCATAGCAGTGGTTAGGTCAAAGGTAGTAATATATAAGAGAAAGATTGCATATAGAGATATAGTACAAGAAGAAAGAGTTGGTTCGTAGAAGGAAAGATATGAAGTGATTTTAATCTCATAGTTTAAGGGAAGACAGGGAGTGTATACACCGACGCCATTGTGATCGATTCTGAGCCATGTCACCAAGTCTCTAACCATTGGTTACGATAGTCACGCGGACCCCAACCGAGTAGTCTGCATCTACCAACATGGCTCAGACTAGAAGTTAGTGACTTCAAGCACTGATGCCACGTTTTGGTTTGGCCGCCCCTAACTTTCTTCCAACCATTTCCAATACCGGATAGCATTGCACGTCGTGGTAGTCGGTGTTCAGGCATACGTAATACGTGGCCCAACCATCTCAGTCGATGAAGATTCATAACCTCATCAACTGATTTACCATCATTCCCTAATACCCTGCGTCTAACCTCACTATTACTTACCCGGTGATCCCAGCAGATGCCAGCAATATTTCTAAGGCATCTGTGGTCAAATACTAATAGCTTACGAGTGTCTTCTACTCTTAATGGCCATGTTTCGCTGCCGTAAATTAAAACAGAACGGACTGCCGCGCAGTATACTCGTCCTTTTATTGATAGACGGATATCTCACCTTCGCCAAAGGTGACGCAAGTTGGCAAAAGCCAAGCGAGCTTTGGACCTAATCCAAAAATATTGTGAATTACTCCCCTGCTTGGAACAATGATAAAATTTGAGACGTAATAACGGGTTTAGAGTTTAAATAACCGTTTTGATGCTAAATATTCCCCTAGAAAATTTTAAACAAGAGTATTTCTAGACAGGGAAATGATTAAAGTCTAATTAAAAACAATGTATAAATTTTTTACAAAGGGTTACAAATAAACATTCATGAGCTAAACTGTTCGCATAAATCTGATAAAAATGAACATAGAACTTTAAAAAACAGAATTCATTAGTGGGGATATACTTCAAATCGTTAGAAGAATCCATTTTGGTTAGAAAATCTTCGTCTACTATTCACAAGACAAAGGAACTCAGTTACCGAATAAATAGTCCTGTGCCAAAGGAGGTCATGATGCCATCTGATTACTTAAACAGCAGGGAATGTAATGAGATTGAAACCCGCAATCCGATTAAAAAAACCAATCACTTCAATCACTAAGTCAGTGTTCTATACGGAAACTAACTTGATATATTCACTTTTAACATTTTCCCAGCACAAATACACTTCAACTAAATATCTAACGTTGAACAGAGAGTCTGTGTTGTGTTGTCAAAGAAATCGACTTACACTTACCATTCGAATCGAGTCTTCATTCGTATTCATTCTATAGGTAACAACATTGTAATCAAGTTTCATATTGTTGTCATTTTGAACGTCGTTATCACTACTGACAATTGCGTCATCAGCATTAGCAACCACACCACCAACAGTGTTATCGTGATTAGGAGATAAAGGAATGTTTTCACTGGTTGGAATATTTTCAGAAATGACTATTGGAGATTCACGGCAGCAGACAATTTTATCTGCCATGGAGGGATCCAATTCCAATGACTGGTTTTCGTTCAGTAATCGAGAATAGTCAGAATCCGATTCATCCGTTAGGGTAGTATTCTGTGGTATTACTTTGGATTCTTCTTTAATTTTCTTACATTCTTCATACTTCAAATAGTTAGACTCCTCGGCAGTTTGTTGTTGTTGTTTGACAGAATCTGTAATATTATTGTCATCATTATTATTATCATCGTTGGATTCATTCGCAACCGAAGACACGTAATTGTCACATTCCATTTTTATTATAATAGAATTATTTTCTTCACAAACAACATCAGCTGGCAGATTAGATATTTCAACTGAATCAACAGAACATGACTGACTAACAGCAACAATATTATGATTAGTATTGGACGGATGAAGGATCAACGAGTTAGTTTTAGACATTGTGTCAACATTATCATTATTGACTGTGCTAACTGATATATTTGGGGTTGAATTAGTGCAATCAGCAATACCGCTATTACTATTACTATCGGTAGTAGTGGTGGTAGTAGTAGTAGTAGTAGTAATAGTAGTAATCGTAGTTACAGGCGAAACAGTGATAGTTGTTGCCGCAACAATAGCGGCAGCAGCTGAAATATGAAGACTTGTCTCGCTTTCCGGAGTACTCTGAGGATCGCCAGCGGCCGCCGCCGCAGCTGATGCAGCAATAGCTTTCATAGTCGCTTGTAATTCACGTTTTTGTTCAGCTTCTAACAAGAGAATTTCATATCTTGGTCGACAAGACATTGCAATTTTTATCTCTTCATCAGTTAATGAAGTTAATAAACATCTATGAGAAAGAAAGAAAACAGTTTTGTAATGAATAAAAAGAAAATACATTTTGATGGAAAAAATATTATTTTCATTATTGAATGTTATTTATCAGGTTCTTTGACAGTTCAATCCACTTCTTTCCTTCAAGTAAATCTCTTAGTTGCCTAGCCAGTCACAAATAACTAATCAACTGCCATGAATGAACATACGTAGATCCGCGAAATTACACTTTTCATTTGCACAACGAAAATGAGTTGGGGAATAAAATTTCACCTGTAGTGAAAGCTAAACAAAATAATTATAAATTTGGATTGTAATTTATGGGGAATGAATGTAACTTTGAAATTAAGACAACTTTTTGAAACCTATCACCTAACGTCTCCAACCATAAACGACTTTGCACAGGTTACGAAGGCCTACATCATATCTCGTAGTGTGGCTCTAGATTGATGTTGTGTCTTCATTCGGTCTTTTTTAACCTTTCTCATCCAACTTACACCAGACCAAGAGAACAATGAGAATCAGAGTAGGCGGCTTAGACTTTCAAAAAAAGACAATGTCAATTGGGTTACTGAGTTCGAACCAATAATAATATGATGGCAACAGGTATTAAATAATATAACGGTTTCATGTAGAGCATTATTTACATCCAGTTAACTACCTAGTGTTTGAGAACAAAACCAATGGCATAAAAACCGTTGCATTTACCAATCAGTAAGGAACTTGAGCGCTTTAATTAAAACAATATCGACCGAAAAAATTAACGTGTCAAAAATAATTAAAGCTGTTAGATCATTAATTCACCTGACCCCCAGGCACATCCGTCGGTGAATAAGATGAGAATGATACTATATAAACAACAGAGTTTCTTAGTTCTTTAGGTAGACACTAGAAGGTTGTTGGTTCACGTTCAAAAGTGAACTGGATTGTTTTCTTACTTCAATTACCAACTGATTAGAGAACTTTGGTCATAATGTGACTAAGCTATTTCACAAATGATTTTATAAAGAATAAATATTGAAAACTGGCATATATATTTTGTACGTAAATAACCCTTACAATGTGGCGTAGACAAGATATTCAATTGTTAAGCAAAGAACGAGTATACTGTAGAGTAATTAGGTCAATTTTAATTTATGACTGTGAAAATTGGTCTCTTGAAGTTGAGGAATGTTGCTCATGCATCGTGACACAAACAAAGATGGGAAATCGCCCAATAAAGCTATGAATTTTTATCAACTACAGTGGCTAAGAGTAGGAATATGATGGCGAAACTAAGATACAACATGAGTACATGAAGTCATTGACTGTTGGACTAGGTTGTGTTAGTAAATGAAGAGTATGTATTTGGAATCAGCACGATAACCATGATCAGAGTTAAATAAGGTCAATTGACAGAGTAGTACAGATGCATTCACTGTTTGTCTTCTATTAGATTATGGGTTCTTATTTAGTAGTTTTTGTTCATTCATTGTTCTCAAATTATATTCTTTATATTTGATGACTGATACACCTATTCTTTCTAATATTTTAGTATTCAGTTTGATAATTTCATTTTCCTGTACTGACATAAAGCGACAACTTGAACCGATGCACATATATGCCAAGTTCTATGTTGTTCATGACTAACTAACTGGTTAAAAACTTCATTATGAAAACATAGTAGAAATAAACAACTGACTTAAATTATGCAGTTTCTTAATTGAATAAAAATTGGAATATTAAAACATATTAAAGCAATTAGTCCCTTTTATAAATTTCGATAGAACAATGAGAAGACGTAGTTGATCTGAAAAATGTGATGTATTTGCGCTATACATTTCGAAGTATATGTGTGACCAGATTGTTCGAAATGTATAGCGCAAATACATCACATTTTTCAGATCAACTACGTCTTCTCATTGTTCTATCGAAATTAAAACATATTAATTGGATATGTTTAAAGTGATTTACTCACCTGGATTTTTTAACTTTACAATGATTATTACTACTATCATTGTAATTTATGCTAGTTTCTAATTCAAGTTTACGCTTACGTTCACGTTCTTCATTAGCAAAATCATGAGATAATTTAGTAGAACGCTAGTAGTTGACAGGAGAGAAAGAGGAAAACGTAGGATTATTTAAATTAATTATTCATAATTAAACATGATAATCTTTAACAATTATATATAGATAAAAAATAAACAATGTAAATTGTAGATTGATAGAATTTTGAGTTTAAGTTTAAAATTTCAACTACACATGCTTAAGGAAATGTAACATATTTAATAACACATATTAGAAGGAATAACAGTCAACAGATAGTACTTAGGATAAAATGAATGATACGAAATGAACGTTCTATAGGTAATTATCAGTAACATTTATCTTGGAAATGAAGTCATTATGGATAGTGTTAGTTGTTTAATATCTGGACTTGAGAATATTTGACAGTTATAATAATAATGGTAGTAGTAAAAACAATGTATGTAATAATGGTATATATATATATATATATATATATATATATATATATATATATGATACAAGAAATGTTTGTAGTGTTTAAGTCATAACATTGGAGGTAGATATTAAAAAAAGAGAAATACTTAGGAACAACTGGAAAGGAGATAGCAAGACAGAGGAGGTCCAAGATTCCTGGCCGGTGGCCTATGCCCTACGAGGAGTAATAGATGTAAGTGAGCTATATCATAAAAAATAATGGACAAAATACGAATTAGATCACAAAAAATAGTTTCAAAAAATAATAATAATAATAACGTTGTTAATACCACAAGTGATATAAGTCTAGTGTCGAAATATTTACTGAGATATGTTTCTTATCGGGCTAACTAAATTCTGTTAATTAATACCATCCAAAAGTTAACATTACAGTTACATACGATTGAAAAAAAAACAGTATTATTTTGTAACAGGTATATGTAGTTATCAACCAACATCAACGTGAGAATCTTTAATACGAACGTCAGGATAGTTCTACTGTACGGAGCTGAAACTTCGAGAACTACCACAACCATCATCAAAAACGTACAAGTATTTATAAATAGTTGTCTACGAAAGATACTCAATGTCCGTCGACCGGATACCATCAGCAACAGTCTTCTGTGGGAGAGGACAAACCAACTTCCAAATAAAGAAGAAATTAGGAATAGACGTTGTAAGTGGATAGGATATACGTTGAGGAAACCACCAAACTGCATCACGAGGCAAGCCCTAACTTGGAATCCTGAAGGGAGACGGAAAAGAGGAAGACCAAAGTACACACTAAGTCGGGAATCGGGAGCAGCCATAAGAAGGATGAATTGCAACGGGAAATAGTTGTCCAGGACAGAGTTGGACGGATAATGCTGGTAGATGGCCTATGCTCCTCCCCGACAGGTGTAAGTAAGTAAGTATGCGTGGTTAGATCAATCAGTGCTAGATACTAATTTATTTTAAATTTGTTTTTTTTTTAAGAAAAATAGACGAATTAGGTTGTAGTTTACAATTCAATGAATAAAACCTTCAGTAGACTGTAATTTCACCTAGACAACACTTAATTTATTAACAAGATTATTAATATTACTATTAACCCACGGAACATAAAAAGTATATATGAATATATTGACAAAGCAATCCTAGCACCAATAAATACACTCACTATCCATATTTCTTGAGTTAATCGAATTGGATTTTGCCATCCAACTGAAAAACAAAAAGAAACATAAAATATTTATTATCGTTTTCTAATTTATAGGTTATTTAATAGTGCATAAGTTTCATAATACAAATAATAGTGAAATATATAAGCTTTGTGTTATACATTAATTTGAATAAAATTTCAAAGAGCACAATGGAATGAATATAAAATCAACGAATGATATATGAATAACACAAATATTGTTTATTATACAATGGGGTGGTCAAAACAAAACGTGTCATCAGTGCTTGAAGACACTAACTCCTAGTCTGAGTCATGTTGGTAGATACAGACTACTCGGTTAGGGTCCGCGTGACTATCGTAATCAATGGTTGGAGACTCTGGGTGACATGGCTCAGAATCGATCACAATGGCGTCGGTGTATACACTCTCTGTCTTCCTTTAAACTATGAGATTAAAATCGCTTCATATCTTTCTTTCTACCAAATAATTATTTCTTTCCGTAATATATCGTTATACACAATCTCTCTTTTATATATTACCACGACTGAAGTAACTGCCTCTATGAATTTGGTGTTCATCTTTTTTGTGCTAATGAGGTGTGGCAACTTGGACCGATGCATATATGTGGTTGGTCCTACGTTGTAGCTGAACGACTGACTGGTAAGTAAATTAGCTAAACTGAATTAATGTAATTTCTAACGAATACATTTATGTATAGAATATACGAGTTCATTCACTTGTTACGTAATGATCACAAGTACAGAAAACCTAACGTTCAATTAACTAGTTTCCTACTCTGTATATATATTCATTATTTAACTGATATTGTACACTGTTCAACATTAAAAAAAACAAAATTAAATTAGACAGTGAGTTTACTCATCAGAAAGAAATGAGATGTTGAAATTCACAGGAAAACATTTTATACAATACATTAATGTCAAAGATGATTATGATAACAACTGAAGTTGAATATCCTTCTTCCAAGTAGGTTTTTTGTTGTGATTCACAATAGAGATTTCAAAAAAAAACAAACAGGGGAATCTACTGATTTGGTTAATTTTTAATAGCTAAATATGTCGAAACATAAAAATATCACTCAACTAATTTAGAATTAAACTTCTCAATGTAATATATTTGGCACTAAAACATCTAAATATTCGATATTAAATTAATATTATAATTGGTATTTGTGAAAAAGTGATACTTAAATGTTTGAGAATAACAATCGGTTTATTATGATATATACATATATTTGGGTTTATAACGACTTTTCACTATCACTAACCAGAAATGCAGATAGTTTTATTTATATCTGTATATGAATAAGGTTTATTATTATTACTGTCAAATATTCATCTAGAACAGAGTAATTTACTGTAAAGAAAACAATACTAACGTACAAGCAGATACATTATAAAAAAAAACAATCAAAATTAGAATACACAAAGAGAACATGTTATATAGCTGAGGATCATTTTGCCTTCTGTGAATTTCATTTAGGTCCTCAAAAAATTCACAGCATAGTGATATTGCTTCGTTTCTAATTCAAAACTTACTACTACATCCAGCCCCCAAAAGCCCTGGTATGGCCGAGAGTGGGGTGGGCACGTCCTCCCTCTCGAACTGCTCTCACGCGGCCACGCGTATACAGCATCTGCCAGGGAAGTTCTACTCACTGCCTTCTCGTGGCGAGGGTGTTGTCTACTAAATTGAGAGGACGAAAAGCGAATGTCCGGCGCTTTAACCAGATCCCAAACAAATGGTGCACATGGGCTCCAGTATTCTGTGGGAACAAATGGCGTATGAACCAATCGTTGGTCACCGGTTACCATGGGACTGCATCTCCTCACGATGCTCCACTGCCTTGTGGATCAGATCTTTAGATCAAAGGCTCGGGGTGTGGCCCCCTAAGTAAACCACCTGCTTCGGTCTGGGCACCCGGGCAGTATCACAGCCTACACACACAAATATGGTGTGGCGCATATATATTTGGTGCCCTGTTGTACCAACATTTATGTGTTGAAATAAAAAATAATAAAACATCCAGATTACTAGTTTGGTGACCATGAACAGTGGTTGGAGACTATGGGTGACACCAAGAGTCAAAATCATTCACAACAGAACAGAAACCTTCTTTCTGTATCGTTTTGTCGAACTTAAATTTCAGTATTGCTTCATACATACTTTTTTATTGTCTTTTCAAACCACGTTATTAAGGTATAGTCCTTTGTTTTAGTATTGCTACTATATTATTTCCACCAATTCCTTTATTTCCATCTTGTCGTGCTAACTCAGTGTGGCAACTTGGGCTGATTTACATCTGTGCCACGCTTTGTGTTGATGAGGTTTGCCTGTTTATTAAGGTATAGTAGATAAATGGCACTTCGTCATGTGCATTAAGTCGAAATTTTAGGCGTTTGGAGGCAGTTACCGTAAAACACTGGTTCTAAATTTTGTGTTAGTTTGCGCTCACTACGAAGGCGTAACCGTATTCTTGAAGGAAATGACGCCTCTTGAGTAGTGGTCAATATCATGTTTGTCCAGTTCTTAGTGCTGATCGAATTCTGTCGACTACTTCCAACCACCTAGCATGGCAACATGATCCAAGTGATGTCGAGACTAATGACCACAATCCAACTTAATCGACTGAATTCCATCAGCACTAAAAAGGACTAAGCAAACATAACACTGGTCATCATCACTCAGTGATCAATTAATGACGCATTTTTCTAATTTGAGATCTACCCATCACCTACTTATATATATATATATATGTCTACAGATCAAATATAAATCTGATTACTGAGTGGGAGGAAGGTATTGAGACACTGGAGAACATGTTAAATTTCTTTTATAATCGTTAATGCTTAATTAATCACAGTATGATATCGATTAATGGGAAATAGTTTAATTATATTTCATCAGACTGATCATTAATCGGCTGATAATAAGGCAGAAATTTGTCTAATTCTGTCCTATTATTACTAATACATGATCTCAATATAATCAGTTCTATAATCTATTTCATTCTTTCGCGGTTCTAGTCAATGTAGAAATCAACTATATTTTTCATTGCAATTTTACGTATATTCAAAAATATACACTATCATAGTTGTATTTCCAGATAATTCTTAACAATGCACAAGCTATTTCTTTTTGATATACCTACAGTTCAGGATAAACATAACTATTGGTTGAAGCCCCTTGTATTAGTTTATTTAGTCACACTAATTATTATTCTCAAATTATGATTTTAATAACGATAAATAGTATGAACGAAAAAAGAAAAGAAGACAAAGGATGAGAGCAAAACCTACCCATTAAATCTTGTACACGTGGAGTACATCGTTCCAGTGAAATTGTTACATCTGATGTTTCAAAGCATAAATATTTATGAAGTATTGGTAAAGATAGTGTTGTTAAATCGCCAAAATAAAGATCTTGTAACCAGCGTACATTGATACATGGTATATCCCATAATTGAGCCATTTCATACTTTTTACCCGATGGTCTAAAATTTATTACAATAAACTTGTAATGATAAAAACAAACACGAGGTTAATTAAAGGAAATAAAATGAAGTATAACCCATCGGTAGCTGAACCAGGAATTCGATTATAAACTGATAATATATCATACAAAAAATTTGCCAGAAACAGACTTAATGTGTGATGTTATGAGCAATGTTAAGTAGTTACAGGCAGTCTGAAGAAAATCCTGCGTAAATACTTTGCGTTAGTTGATATTCCCCACCAAGATTTCCCTAAAATCTTCATAAAACTGATGTTCTCTGCAGGATTCGAATCAGAGCCACTTAGTTTCACAGTTTCAGACATCGTCACTGAGCTTTAAAGCCGTTAATAAAGTATAGCAGTGATTAATGCTGAACAAATTTTGTAACAATTATTATTCATAATAACACTAAGGGGTAGATTGAATAACTAACACCTTTCTTTTCTACTGTTCAACAAATAAATGGCATAACAAACAAACTAGAAAAGAAATAATGTAGCATCATTTTCATTGACTGAAACAAAATGCATGGTCTGTTCGGAATGTTTGTAGCGAAAGATATGCCGTTCAAATCCTAATATTGACGTCAACACTGGGATGTGATCAGTTGACGAGTCCCAACTGGAAAAAAGTGCGTTCTGGACTTCACTGCTAACAGCAGCCTAACCACTCTAAGTATAAAATGTGTTTAGTGTCCAATGCAGAGATGTCGTTTATTAGTTACAGGGTTCTATTCCTATTCAATCCAGTGATTTAGACAATCTAGTAATGTCACTAACACTCATGACATAACGTGTGTCCAAAAATCAAGTACAAGAATCTGTATTTCATAAAAGAATGACATCAGTTAGGGTCTATTAGACCTTTAATATGATAATATTGAATTATTATTTGAAAATGTATGAACTGATTTTTTTAAGTTTTGAACAATGAGCATGTTATTCTTTATAAAAGAAGTGTGATTGTGTAGTTGTTTAGTTACCATTTTGTCTAGAAAACAATTGCATTTCACAAATTACTACTAATCCGTACATTATATCTATATTTTTATTAACTATAAAATTTTGGAGATCTTTACATACTATCTATTTGTGTTTTGATTGCCAGTTTAAGAACAATTTATTAACTTGACTAATATGATACAAAAATTGTCTATCACTATGAACTATTAAGCCAAAAATATGTATCTAATCTACAATTTTTTACATGAAATAGTTGCCCCACAATGCCCTGGTACGGTCGAGAGTGGGGAGAATTCGCTCTTCCTCTCCAAATGCTCTTACATGGCCACGCGTTTACAGCCACTGACATAGAAATCCTACTCACTACCTTCTCAAGATGAGGGTGTTGTTTACGAAATTGAAAGGACGAAAAGCGAATGTCCGACGCTCCAAAAGTGTTGGTGGATATGGGAGATCCACCTAGAGGAGTTGGAAAACATTGATTCCAAACCAATGGTGCACATCGGCTCCAGGATCCCAAAGAAACAAATGGCGTGTGAACCTATTGTTCGTCACCGACTACCATGGGACTGCAACTCCTCACGATGCTCCACTGCCTTGTGGATCGGACCTTTAGGTCGAAGGCTGTGTGTGGCCTCCTAAGAAAACCACCTGCTTCGGTTTGGGGACCCGGGCAATATCACAGCCCTCACATAAATCGAATGATTTATACGGAGCATATATATTTGGTGCCTCCTTGTACCAATGTACATGTGTTTAAACAAACAAATAAAATAATTAATTAATGTAGTTTATTTGTCGATTTGACAAATTTACATATTCAGTTTTTGAAAGAAATTTTTTCGTTGTGATGACCAGTGTGAAACTAACGAGTTCTTTAAACGATGTACGATTTGAATCCAGTAGTTAAAAGTCAAGAGTCTCAACAAAAAAGAGACACACAGGTGTGCATTGGTTAAACTTTCAATACGTCCTTAATAGAACAAAATCAAAAGCAAGGAAACTGAATTAATGTAATACCAGTAATAATGACAAAGGGCTAAACGCAGAGAGTATGACTCAGCAAGACAATATGAGAATGTTATATATGTAGGTATGTGGGAATGAAGATAAAGACTGAATACATCTGCGCAACTCTAAACAATTCCAAGTCATACCACCCAACGTATTAAATCAATGAAAGTAGTTATTTCGACGACTTCGAAAAGGTAGTCCACATAGTTAACAATTTCATGAACTAATCCCATGTTTCGGTTTAGCCATACCTAGCATTCTTCTAGCCTATTAATTTAGTCAGCATCTATTGATAAATATTCACAGCTTCATATTATAAACAATGACAACAATAGTAATACACAAAACAATAAATGAGATGAACAGAAGAAAAGGAATAACTTACTGTTTACAAACTAACAATGTGTTGGACGGTTCAAGGTAATCAGTAAAGGTAGCACCGATTTGACGTATGATCATTTCAATTTTTTGACGATCTTTACCTTCGAAACCAGTTAGTGATATAATCTAACATTGTTAAAAAGCATTTATGTAATTATAATGTGTAGATACATATGTGTCAGAATAATAATAATATTATTATTATTAATATTAATAATAATAATAATAAGTAGATAAACAAACTGACAGTTGAATGATCGAAAAAGTATCTAACACGCAATTTAAGAATACTACCATAAAAACGTAAAAAAACAACAATTCAAAATAAAAGTGGAATGTGCGTATCAAACTGTATATCAAGTATGCTTATAACTAAATCTAATCGTTCCAATATCAAATAATTTATAAATAATAATCTTATTAGGAAAACAAGTACGGAAGTCTCTTTAGATCAGCAGAATAACTGAGATTTTCTCAGTTAGTCAGTAGTTAACCCCGTTAATGAATATGACCTACATGCGAAAAAACGAAGAACGCTTTTATTTATTATTTTACACAAAATTGTGTTACTGTACTGCTGAAGAAGAGTAGTTGTTTGCCAATCAGTCTTGTTCTTTATGTCACGAGTTTATTTTTACAAGCGCCCAACATTAATAATCTCTTATCATGAGTTATTTAGTTGACCACCACATTATTTAAATGTAGATTATCAGTTTGATCAGCGTTCTATTTGCCAATCTAACAACACGAAATTCTCATATCATAAATCCCGAAAATCACAGTTTAGTATCATATACATATATATACATCAGGTTTATATCACTACCACTGTTAATAGTGGTAAAAGTTACTCATCAGTAAGTAAACTACTGACAATAATAATAGTAGTAACGATGATAATAATAATAATGGCTTCATCCAATATCATGGATTTGGCTGAAGTAATGAATTCTCAGCATCAATTGTGCAACAATGCCACAAATTTCTTTATTTTTTTTACCCGCGTTCACATCGTGACTATCCAGATAAAAATATTTAAAAATGTTCCACAATAGTAAATATTTTTCATCCATTTACAATAACGGAAGATTTCTATCAATTCAGCTCTTACAACTAGTTCTCCACATATCATTTATGTATTCCAATCTAATTCATCTCTTACTGTTACAACGGATGAACAAAGAGGAAAATATGTCAACATTTAGCCATTGTAACAATCCCTTGGGTTTTATATAGCAGCACAGGGGTACGTACATAGAGTTAGTATTCATAATCACTGACTTGAAGCAAATATGAGACAGGATTGATTCAAACATTTGAATAGGCCGCTAAGTAAATAGGTCTGAAAATATGTTTAGATATTAAGATCAACAAACACTCAAGAAAATATACACTCAACATGATAAAATAAACAAATATTTGGACATTAATCAGGTTATATAAGAGATGAATATCAGAAGACGAAAGAATAATAAAAAATAGAAAAAAGGTTGGGGACAGAGTTGAAAAGATGAAGATCGAAAAAGTTTATTAGACAAATGTCCAGTCACTATGGGAGGGAAAGGCTAACCAAACTTTCCTTTTGTATACATAGGTCAGGTTGGAAACGTTTGATAACGATCGCCTCTGCGAAATGGAGTAAGAGTGGTGATCATTATCTGCGGATTATTTTGAGCGATTACTCAATCACTTATTGATCTAATTACCTTTATACAATCTCTTAATTATTACAGCACATAGATTGTAAATACAACATACAATTACTAAAATATAGATGAAGAAAATACGAGTTATGTTTTAAGATAAACCTGTAACCTTCCCATCTCCGTCATATACAAAATTCACACTTACCTGTGTACGAATAAATGAAAAGGTGATATCTTTGGAAAATGGTGATGGTAAGTGTAAAATTTCAAATGGTGCGATCATTCTACCTTTTGCAAGTATGTCATTAACCCAATAAATTGTAACCAAACGTTTATGATCTAACAAAGCCTAAAAAAACATACAGAAAACAAAATGATAGTGATGGAAATATTATTATTATTATTTATTTTAACACATAGATATTGGTACAAGTAGGCACCAAATACATATGCGCCACACAAATCTCATATGATTTGTGTGAGGGCTGTGATACTGCCCGGGTGCCCAAACCGAAGCAGGTGAGTGATGGAAATAACCATAGGAAGAGTATGAATTTTATTAAATAAATCAGTTTACGTAATCAGTACTTTTAACCATTGGGCCCTCATGTGATACAACTATTTTCCGAAAAATGTATCTACCCGATGATAATAATAATAATGAGTTTCATTTAATTCAGTCGAAATTCGATAGCAGATAAGTCAAAAAGACCGTACTGGGAATTATAATCAGGATGTACCTTGAGAAGAAGGAATGTAAAGATATATATTTAAGAATACAAGAACCAAAGATCTAAAGGAATATAAAGATGGATTGCATATGTGCCATTCTGACAAGTTGTCAGCCGTGGCAACCAAAGTCTCTAACCACATAACACAGTTATCCCAAGGATTCTCAACAAGTAATTTGCATTTAATAACATCGCTCAGGCAAGTAGTAAATGATTTCATAGATTGATACTATGTTTTGCTATGGTTGACCACAACTTTTTCAGATTATTTTTACTCTAACTAACATTGTATATCGAGGAAGGCGGTGGTTGGATAGATGTACAGCTTCATCAATCAATTTGCTATATTTACCTACTAAAAGAGTTTACCTTGTGAGCCAATGATAGGAATTAAAAATAGTTAACATTTACAATGACGGATTCAACGTACTTGTTTAATCACATCAGGTTCTTCTAGTTGACAATCAATAATAACATGTGTAACTTTATTAGGATCATAAGCCATTACTACTTCTGCACCATGTGAACGCATAACACGTCGCCAAACAATTTTTTGTGATTCAGGTACATTTCGATAGCCTAAAATTAATAGAACACAACCAATTAAACATTCTTCCGGTTTAGACGGTAAAGGATTACCGTCATGACCATAGTAAGTGGGGGTTAATGATATTGCAGGTGTTATAATTGTAGGCGTTGAATGTGAAACATTCATTGGTGTTGAATTACAAGAAATTTGTCGATTTGCAGATTGTACAATTGTAGTAACAGGTATCTGAGATGCATGTCGAGGTGGTTGACCGTTGGCAACATTAACGGTAGATGAAGAATGATTGTTTGATGGTACTTGTGCAACTTGAGAATGATGTGTAGGACGTGGACTAAACGAATGATCAACATTATTATTATGTACTAAATTTTGCCCTGCTACATGATGATATGGAGAATGAACTGTGCCAGTTTGATGAGGATGATTTTGAGCATTGATCACACTGACAGAAGATGAATCACCCATAACCATTTGAGCATTCCCTCGTCCTACTGACTGTCCATGTACTATTTGATGATTTGTTTTTAACTGTTGACTTGAAATAATCCCACCTAAAAGTAAATAAGTAAAAAGATATATAAATATCGATCAAAAGATAATAATTAACAGTGTAGTAAAGCAAATGAATTAAGTCAGGAATAATAACTCCATTATTGAATAGATAGTGAAACTATTTCACGCTAATCAGTGAACGTTATTAAATTGACCTTTGAATAGTAACTATCAGATGTGAAAAGTCTTAGGATAATCTTTTATGTTGCTGATTTCCATATTCACAATGATAAAGACACTGTATATCGTTTATTCTCATCTAATGCTACACATGCAGTTGAAAAAATAATCAACAAAAATCATCCAACACTTAGACGGATCTTGTTACCTTCTTTTAAAATGGAAAAAATAAATTCCTATCAATTGAAACAGACAAACTCAAAATAGCATTATGATAGACTGAGATTATAATTGAGGGGGATAACCATAACCTATGGTAGATAACTTTTAAAGTGATGTAACTCTAAAAAGCAATATTAGTTCAGTAAATGAATTTATAATTTATCTTTGTAAACAATTTATTATTTTATGTTTAAAAAACACAAATATATGAATAAAGAATATTCTTTGTAATAAATTCTCATCAGCTTCTAGATTAGCCACCTGTTTCTGTATCTATTAATTCAACTTCTCTTGTGGAGCAAGTTATGTTGGAAGACTTTCTAGGAATTCGTATTTTCTTGCATGAGGATAGCTTCCAGTGTGGTTAAACGAAGGTGTATTTAAAACTGTTGACAGTTCAATTATTTTTTATTAAGTACAAACGGTTCATACAGACAACAACATATCATGTTCATGGTTATCTGTCTAAATCTATCAGACTAAGAATACTACAGACGGACTGGGGCAATAGCTAATAGAATAAAAAATTCGACGCTTGTGTTCTACAGAAATACTGTCAACTGATCTATTTACAGTTTGAGGTTGTGGAGATTTTTGGATTTCATTTAAATTATGAACCAATGAATGTCAGACCACTATTGAAAACCTGGGAGCCAACATGTCTGTAATTTTAGATAATGTACTAGCATGAAACTTGGAACATCAATTGGGACGTAAAGCTGTAAAAAATGATCATGTAGATTATGACAGCTATCCATCACGAACAATGAGTGAGGACTGCCCAAAACCATGAATTCCTTGAAGTCAGAAACTAACATCGGTGATCTAAAGGTCAAACCTGCGCGTGAAAAGGAAGGCACTGAGTTCGATTCCCTGTGCCAGGTCTGTGAATGAGCACGGCTGAGGAATTCCATACTAAGATGAGACAGCTCCCCGATGATTCTTGGTCTTCAATGGTGGTCCAGCTAAGAGCGGTTCGTAATTTGAGTTGGTGAGACCCAGGAAATTCTTCGAAAAAGCCCAATAGGGCCCTAAAAATACTGGAAAACATTTTATCCAGTCAGTATTGAGTAGACGTTTCTGAGAAATACCTAGAAAGTGAATGGTCACGTGTCACATTTCTGGTTGGATTATTACATATCCTGCTACTACGTTAAGCAGGGTCCCAAGGCCGTCTGAAATACTATAGATACCCTCCGTTTACTGTACATAAACTGTAGTGAACAAGAACTCGGGTAGGGACAATCGATTGTATTTAGCACAAAAATTACAGACTATCTCAATAAAATGTGAATACCATAAAGTCAATCGTCAATTTGCAAAATATCATTCAATCATATCCAACTGTACTGTTCCCGTTGCAAACACTAATCCATTGTCGCCCATTCCATTGTACATGCGTTTTCTTACAATTCCATTGTGCTCTTGCTCTTCCTTTCTTGATCTTCGCCATCTTCTGCTGCCAGACATTACGTTCTTTTAACGCACGTTATATACTACTTATATCAATATAAGTAGCTCACACCACACTCGTCCCCCCCTTAAAGCAGTCGTTCTTGTGGTAGTTCATGCTCGCCGTGCAACATTCTCCGTCTCTGCAGTCTGTGCCACGCTCTCCGTCGAGATGTCGAGTCTGCGGCGCGCTGACTTCCACAGCCCTGTCGACCTGCCGGGGCAACAACAACCAACATCCACCCGGCACCTGGGACGCTTGACACCCGCACTCCACCGGCCTGCTGAGCCATCTACATCCGATGTCCGCCCAGCAGCCGCGCGTCCCGACACTCCACTTCGTCGACAGCACCCGCCACATCCAACGCAGCCCCGCCAGGACACTTCACCAGACGCCACCTCTCTGCACCAGACTGCCCCAACTGGCACCTCAACCCCAAGCCCGCAACGGCGTCCGCAGAACAGCACACTCCTCCTCTCCTGGTTGGCAGCGACACCAAATGTAGTGAACAAGAACACGGGTGGGGACAATCGATTGTATTTAGCACAAAAATTACAGACTATCTCAATAAAATGTGAATACCATAAAGTCAATCGTCAATTTGCAAAATATCATTCAATCATATCCAACTGTACTGTTCCCGTTGCAAACACTAATCCATTGTCGCCCATTCCATTGTACATGCGTTTTCTTACAATTCCATTGTGCTCTTGCTCTTCCTTTCTTGATCTTCGCCATCTTCTGCTGCCAGACATTACGTTCTTTTAACGCACGTTATATACTACTTACATCAATATAAGTAGCTCACACCAAAACTAACCTTGGAGTAAAGCATTCTTTTCACACTACGCGTCTTTTCTCTCGTGTTCAAGTTGTCATGTAGTGATAGACTGGGGTTATTAGAAGAGCTTAGGAAGCCGATTCAAGCATTGTCAGAAAATTTATCAATTGGAAAAATATGGAAATTCATTATCTAATTTAAAAATGATGTCACTTTAGAAACTTCATAATACTAAATAAATTAAAAGATACAAAACATACTTGGATGAATTTGTTGAGGAGGCATGTGAATGGGTTGCTGCTGCTGTTGTTGTTGCTGATGGTGGTTGTGGTGTTGATGCACCCCTTGTTGTTGTGTAGAATGCACAGCATTATTACTATTATTATTACTAGTATTTACCTGAGCTGTTGGACTAGTTTGAAAAAGAACTTTGTTAGCTGGAGCTCGATTAGTTATTTGTGGGACAGCACGTTGATTAGTCGTCAATGTGACTAATGAAGATTGATTTTGATGGAAACCATTTCCAAGTGTATTATTCGTATTGTTAGAACATGGTAGGACAGAACGAAGAAGCATTCCTCCACTTGGGGCTGAGTTAGTGAAACTTCTTCCAAACTATAAAAGAAATTTTAGGTTGAAGTAATCACTGGCCTAAAGTAAACTAATTTATCAAGAAAATATTTAATGCATTCGGCTTTTAAATGATATATATCTTATTCGAAGCCCAGTGATGCATTCTGGCTACTGATACGGAAACAGTTGGAGTTAGTGTAGAACCTGTAACTAACTTACGTATTCACTACCACTAGAAGGAATATCACAACATTATTTGTAGAGGTAATAACCATAATACCTATATAAATGAACCGTAATAATAAGCATACGCTAGTTCCAATCTGTGACCTACAAGCATAATATGAAACATTGAATAAGTAGTCAGAAAGCACTGATTTACAGTTACATTTATTCCTAATAAATAAACTGTCATTCTAAAGCTATATAACTTTTGAACTATGCGCTCAAGTTAGTTAGATAAAAAGAAAATATACATTACTATTGAGTCACTTATTTTTTATGTAGAAGAAATGATAATACAGCTTACTGTATTCGACATTGACTGATGTTGTGGTGCAGCGATAATTTGTTGTCCAGTCGGTGATTGAAATATGATCTGTTGTGGATGTTGTTGTTGCGGCTGTTGTTGTTGTGGTGTAAAACAACCATGGATTGTTTGATACTGTGGTGAAGCACCGACGCCACCACCCCCAACAGGAACGGCAGCAGCAGGTGAAAGTTGAACCTTTTGCTGTTGCTGCTGCTGTTGTTGATAGTGTGTAGGATGCGGCGTCAATGCAGCAGAGAATTGATGTGGCTGTTGAATATAATGCCGATTCAATTGATTATTTACAGAATGACGTGTAGGCGATTGAGGTGTTTGTATCTGTTGCTGTAATTGTGTCATTTTACCACCGCTTGGGATAGTTGAATGTTGCTGAGACAGAATATTCGATGTAGATGGTGATTTGACTTGATTAGGATTAGTGACACTACCACTATTTCCCAGGGTATTATTATTATTACTAACATTGCTAGTAGGTGATTGTAAGGCGAAATGAAGTTGTACCGCTTGCTGTTGGTGGTGTGGTTGTTGTTGATGTGTTGAAGTTGTTGCTAAACTACAATTTGGCTGAATAACTTGTTGTTGTGAATGATTATGATGTAATGTACGATTATCAATAATCATAGTAGGTGTTAACTGTGAATTACTATTCACAGTAGTAGGCGCTGTGGTAGCCAAATGTTGTTGTTGGTGATGATGATGAGGATGGTGTTGGTTATTTTCCGATAACAAAGCTTGTTGTACCGGCGACGAATTATACGGTGTCGACTTGATTTGTATAAGTTGACCGGCAGGATTACCAAGACCTACATTACTTCCACCAGTAGATTGCAATAATAATTGTTGAGTGATTGATGGTGATGATGACAATGATGACTGTGAATTAACGATTTGTTTATTATGAGGTGTTTGTTCAATAGTTGTTGAATTATGCCCAGATTGATGAGTTGATTGAAATAAATGATTTGATGATTGAATAGTATGGCCTGTTGAAATTTGATGATGATTAGAAGACAAAGGATGTTGTGGATTAACATGGTTACTAGTTAGTAAAATATCTCCACAACCATCTGGACTGATCATAGTCATATCCGACTGTGATTCCGCGTTATCACTCTATTAAAATTAAAAATAAACGAAAATGAAATTTTCAACAATTGAAACAGGTGATCGAACAAAAATCCTTTTCATCAATTTCGAAATCATTTCTAACATGAATTGAATTTACCAGTCTCTTTTAGCATGTGGACCCTGTGCAGATTGCCTCAATATTATAATTAAGTCACAAGCATTTCAAGTAGAGTGCAGTAGTGACTAGTGAAAGAGTCCAGGACGCAAAATTTTTCCTATTCAAAACTCATCACCTAGATATAACTGCACCTCAGTGTTGATATTCATACCGGGAATCGGATCCAGTACCTTTGCTTCAAACGCTCAACACGTTATCCACATAGCATTTTGGAGTGAAGGGCACTTGGTTCAACTCCCAGTTTAAACACCCACACTGGGATGCAAATACATTCAGCTGACGAGTCCTAAATAAAGGCAAAACGATTGTCCTAGATTTCACTACTGACCAACCTTTCACTTTTCCTAAAATGCTTGTGACTTAATGGCAATATCGAGGTGTTTCGCACAGGATACATACATGTCGAAAGGAATTGATCAATCGCAGTCCATTATATCGACAGAAAGATTCAAACAATCAATACGAATGAATGACTTGAATTCAGTGAGTGCTAATTATGCTATCCGGCTACGTAAGCCGAAATATATGGAGTGGAATTTCAATATGAGACTTAGTGGCTGAGAGTCAAACGCCTTAACCAATAAATGATGCCAAGATGAACATACACGCATTCAATAGATAATTTATAAAGACTTACTTGTTGATATGGTTGACGAGTAGTACGAACTAATAAAGTTGGCTGTTGAACTGGTGCGGTATGTTGAAAATGTTGAACATTTACCTGAGGTTGGGTTTGTTGTTGTTGGGCTACGGTTGAATTATTAACAGCAGTCAATATACTACCAGTACGTTGATAAGGATCTATGGTAAAAGAAAATTATATATATATGAGGGGAATTACAACATTAGTATTAAACTGATTTTCAATTAAGTATATTCAAGTTTCATTACATAAAGATGCTGTAGGAAGATTCAAACATTTAGTGATTAGTGAATAAAATTCCGACTCATATTTTTAAATCAATCTACGTTTGGATACAGATGAAAGTTCTCTTCAATCAGCAAAATAACTTGAATTTATAATAAGAAATATCTCAGTTCTACAAGAGGTCACTCGTGGCTTGAATAGCTCATAATAGTAACATATGATAATGTGGAAGTGAGAGATATGAGTTTGAATCTCAGTGAGCACATTAGTTCGCTTAAGATTACAGATAGACCGTGTTGAAGAGTGGCGACTAACAAGAAATCTAGACACAAAATCTCCGGCCGAGTACGTCGGACTATTTATCATTTATATAGACAAAACAAATATAGCTACAATAGATTATTCTAAAGAAATAACATCATCGTTATCATTAATCAAAAATATTTCAAGTTAAATTTACGAGTCGATTAAAGCTAGACCATCGGCGAAAACATGGAAGCACTGGACAGCCATTTCGTCCTAGTAAAGGACTCCTCACCCTCGAATGCCCTGGTACGGCCGAGAGTGGGGAGAGTCCGCTCTTCCTCTCCAAATGCTCTTACATGGCCACGCGTTTACAGCCACTGACATAGAAATCCTACTCACTACCTTCTCAAGATGAGGGTGTTGTTTACGAAATTGAAAGGACGAAAAGCGAATGTCCGATGCTCCAAAAGTGTTGGTGGATATGGGAGATCCACCTAGAGGAGTTGGAAAACATTGATTCCAAACCAATGGTGCACATCGGCTCCTGGATCCCAAAGAAACAAATGGCGTGTGAACCTATTGTTCGTCACCGGCTACCATGGGACTGCATCTTCTTACGATGCTCCACTGCCTTGTGGATCGGACCTTTAGGTCGAAGGCTGTGTGTGGCCTCCTAAGAAAACCACCAGCTTTGGTGTGAGCATCCGGGCAGTATTCCAGCTCTCACACAAATCGAATGACGAAGTAAGGCGCGTATGTATTCAGTGCTCCTTTGTGCCAATATTTATGTGTTCAAATAAATAAAATAAATGGGACTCCTCAGCAGTGCGCACCCACAATTCAGAACGTGGGACTTGAACCCAGGACATTAGGTCTTGTGCACGGACGCTTAGATTCTATACTACTGAAATGACATCCAATGGTGCTAATGCCTAACTACAATCGATCAATGATCTTGCGCAACCCTTCATCCATTGTCTGAGGTGGATAACTGTCTCACACTCGACACGGATTGAACTCCAATAGATGGGAACTGTTAAGGAGTCCCATATTAGAAGTAAAAAGCCGTCCAATGCTTCTAGGTTTTCAATGGTGGTGTAGCTTAGATCGACTTGTGAATTCAACTGTTAAAATACTACAATCACCACAAATACCCATATCAACAAAAATATTTGTACACATAAAAATAAAATTCATTTGAGAAATTCCTAACTACTTTGAACAGCAAATGACTGTGTATGCAATTGTCCATGCGTTGTTTGTTGTGATACACTAGCTACAAGTTGACCACATGGATGTCTTTGTACAATATAAGCTGATGTTCCACCTTGTACTGACGACTGTGGTTGATGTGATGCAATTGTAGCTGTGGTAGTTAAATAATGTTGCATAGTCGTAGACCGTTGAAGTTGAGTGGATGTAGGTTGAAGTGAATTACTATTAGCCGGTCGATATTGCATTTGTTGTAAACTACCAGTTAGTAAAACTGAAGGAAGTGCGGAACCAGCACAACCGGCCATCACAATAGATGGCTGTTGTTGTTGTTGTTGAATATGCTGTTGATGAGGTGATGCTAAAGTTTTAGTGGCTCCAGTAACTTTAGCATTTTTTGGCGATTTCGGTGAGACTTTATGACTAAGATTACTTCCAACAGCACGACAAGGTGATTTTGGTGATTTCGGTTTTCGATGACTTCCAGAAATTTGTGAATTGGTCAAATTGGATGAACTACCATAGCTAGAATTAATAAGATTGCTCAAATTAGATGGATTTCCTCCTTGAGATCCAGAAAATGAATTTGATCCGTTTTGATTATGTCCTGTATTACTATTGGATGAATGAGCTTCAGAGGATGATGCTGACGAAGAGCCTCGACCATGAGATGATTCCTGTGAAGTTGAACAAAATAAAAGAACTTCGTACAACACGTTATGAGTTAGATTTATCTAAAACACACCAGATATCATTTCAACAATTTAAAGCTAAGAAATATCTAGTTGTAATTACAAATTTAAAACAATAAAAACACTTTCTCAAGGAAGGGGAACAATACGACAAAAACCTTGTAAAAATAGAAGCACGCTACCCTTAAGCTATTCCCCCCCCCAAAAAAAAGGCGCACAGCATCCATTTTACATTCATAAAAAATATACCCATCTATTACTCTCATATAAAATAATTCTCAATATAAAACTTCCTTTAAAAGTGTCAATTTGCTCTAATCACTACTACCAGTAGTATTGAGTGGCTATGAAAGGGAAGATAATTAGGTTCAATCAAATTGTTATTTCCTTAGATATCTACGCTTTATTAAACACACACCAGTTGAATAACAGTGAAATTATTCTTATACACTTCATAATAGCGAATAGTTCATTTTGGCGGAAGACGACATAGAAAGAAGCATCACCGTCATCATTTATACAAAATAGAGTTCACTAAAACATTAAAATAGTCTCAAAGATTCCATAAGACAGAATGAATATAATCAATCTAACAGTCCATAATGTAGAAAGAATAGAAGATAAAAGCAGCTATATAATAATGGGAAGGTTATTGACAGAATCACTTGTAATTACTGTTATCTGTCGTTGTTGCTTTTATCTTCCATTCCATATATCTGTTTATAACACTTACCCGATTCCATGTGTGCTGTAAACTGAGAATATTTTTCACATTTTGCATAACAATAGCATCTTTTTCTTCTTCATTCAAATTTTGCTCCTGCATGTGCTTGCTAGACTTTGATTTACTTGTCTTGCCATGATGTCCAGTAGTCGTAGTACTGGTGGCAGTAATAGTAGTAGTATTAGTACTAATACTACTAGAACCACCGCCGATGTTGCCACATCCTCCTCCACTATTCCCACTAATACTGTTTAGAGCATTACCACCTGTATTTGCAGTCAATGATGTTGTCAATGTGATAGTATTACTAATACTACCACCACCACTATTGCTATTACTACCAATTACTGAATGTCCGCCAAGTGTTGTTGTAGACGTTGTAGCCGGTAATAGACTATTAGTCAAAATTACATTAGTATGATTTGTTGATACACTAGAAGTGGAATAATTAGTTCCTGATAAAATAGGATTTCCATGAGCATCTATAATACAAAATATATAAATATATATATGTTTATACATGGATAGGTGTAGATAAGTGTAAATTAATAAATTATTAAAATGGAAGCTAAATATAATTTTTGAATAGGAGAGAAAAATATCTGAAAAGACCATTTAGTTTATATTTTAATTTTACAACTTAGTTTGTCGAAGAATTAATCTCTCCACGTATTATGTTTCATGTATATATTTTGAGTATTGTGTACATTTTAAATACTGGAATAACAAGATAGGCAATTGAGTAATATACATGAAACAATATTATAACCTTAGTTAACTAAGGTTAGGGTTGTAATGTTGACGCTTTTTTTAATTTTCAATTCTTATTTCATAAATTTGTATTAACATAGATAAACACTAATGTTTCTCTTTCTCTCTCTGTAAATACAAACTGAAATATTGTTCAAAGCACAGGACTTTAAACTGCGTTAAGTTAGTGAGTGCTTTCTTTCATTATAACTGTATATTTAGTTCATATTTATTATGACAACCTTACTGAAATCAGATGTGTCTACCTCAAGTCAGTCGATCAGAACCAATACAGAGACTAACATGGATGTCGATTGTTCCAGAGGTTACCATGCTATATCAACACGAAAGAAGATTGATAACATCAATTGAGAAGGAACTGATAGCAAGAAAGGCTAAGCATTCAAAATATAGTTTGAGAAGGAATGCAAAGGTATTTATGTAGGAATATTGTGGCGTAAGATCCAGAGGAAGATAGAAGCTGGATGTATCTCTACCACACTGACAAATTTTCAGCTATGTCACCCAGTGTCTCGAACCACTGGATATAGTTGTTGCAAATATCGCCAACAGATAGTTTGCATCTATCAACATGACTCAGACTAATAGTCAATGATTTCATGAACTGATGTAATGTTTTGATTTAATTTCTCATCCCAACTTCGACTTCAGCCAACATTGTATGTTGAGGTGAGCGGTAGTTGTGTATACACATCATTCACACCATAACCACTTTAATCAATGAAAATTTACAACCTCATCAATTAGCTTGAAGTAACATATAGTACACAAGAACAGCATGCTTAAAATACCGATTAGTAAATACTAATACTTTGATAATGTTATGATACAGCGATTTAAAAATAATCAAACTCTGGACCAACATAATACCAATTAAGAACTTTGTATTATGGTTAAATTAATTCACGTAACTCTGTTCTCATTCCAACGTTTTGTAAGCGAAAACTAGCTATTTATTTATTTGAACACATAAATATTGGCACAAAGGAGCACTGAATACATACGCGCCTTACTTCGTCATTCGATTTGTGTGAGAGCTGGAATACTGCCCGGATGCTCACACCAAAGCTGGTGGTTTTCTTAGGAGGCCACACACAGCCTTCGACCTAAAGGTCCGATCCACAAGGCAGTGGAGCATCGTAAGAAGATGCAGTCCCATGGTAGCCGGTGACGAACAATAGGTTCACACGCCATTTGTTTCTTTGGGATCCTGGAGCCGATGTGCACCATTGGTTTGGAATCAATGTTTTCCAACTCCTCTAGGTGGATCTCCCATATCCACCAACACTTTTGGAGCATCGGACATTCGCTTTTCGTCCTTTCAATTTCGTAAACAACACCCTCATCTTGAGAAGGTAGTGAGTAGGATTTCTATGTCAGTGGCTGTAAACGCGTGGCCATGTAAGAGCATTTGGAGAGGAAGAGCGGACTCTCCCCACTCTCGGCCGTACCAGGGCAATGCAACCATCCTGCCCATATTGAAGCAGGTAAAGTGGGATTTGCACTTGTAAACCATTAGTTAAAAGATATTTTAACTATGCTACTTGTACTACAGTTTCCGGTGTCCGATTATAGTTAGTTCAATTTCATAATGACTAAATTTATTATGAGTCCGATAAATAGTATAAAACAGTTTAAAACTAAGGTAAATATGAATATATTTCAATATATAGAACCTGATGACTGATTAAAATGATATGTTATCCAATGCAATTCGTTGAAAATACTAATTAATAATTTCAAACGAAGTGATTTAATGGTCACTTACATATCACGAAACCATCAGATTGGTTCGAAACGAAAACTATTTTTAAATAAAACAAACGAGGTAAAAATCCGCTACGACTAATCAATCAATTATCTCCAACACGCATAAAAAATTTTGTATGGAGTAAAGTACATGGGCTACATTGTCTATTGGGTAAGTAAAATTGAACTATTCAGCACAATTAATATGACTATATACTGTGTAATATAAATGAAAAGTTATTTACTTACCAGACCCTCCAGTTTGTTGCATTAGCCCTTGTTGAACTGCAGGATCAGTATAAATTGGTAAAGTGGACGGATAACGCTGAAATGAAATATTTACGTATTATATACATATATATAGTACTTAGCAAAACTATAAAGATAAAAATCAATTGGAAGTGAATAGTAGTTTTCAGTTAGGCACTAATCTCTATCATAACAAGCATTTCTTATTCCAACAGGTGATTTTCATTCCAAATAACCTTAGTGTAAAATCACTAAAAGTATAGCATAACAAAATCAACGATCTTCAAGGTTATCGAGTCCACGAACCCTAAACGTTTCAAAAGTAAGTATGATGACTTTGAAAAACTAAACTAGGCAAGATTTTATTTAAAAATATATTTGTTATATTATGCAGAAATGTCGTTCGACATAACTAAATAAAATAAAGAATATGAAATAATACGGAAAAGATATGAGGAAATGAATACAGATTGGTGTATTGCGATAGATTTTAAGTACATTACTTATACTCTCCAAGCTATCATCAGGCATTAAGTAGAATCCAGTACATACATGAGTTAGTCCAAGTTGTCACACTGTATCAACACAACGCAATGTTTTAAAGTCACCTGACAAAGTAGTAGAAAAAATAGTAGCAGTATCAGTGGCAACAGAAAACATTGGGCATTTTGGTGGAGTTTCGTTCTCTAAGCTGAACGGTTGGACCTCGGAGATTTCGTTTTTCTGAACAACAACATCAGGACAAGTATCTGAACTTTGGTGAGAGAGAGCGAAACTCCACCAAAATCATCCACTTGAGCTATAATTCTTTTTCACTATCTTAACATTGGGCACAGACACAATAATTCGAGAAGAAAAACGAATTTTTCTCGAATTAATTTTTTATCATCACTTAATTGTATTGTCGTAAACAAATCTATGGGTGAGTTTGTCAGGTTTAATGTCGTCTAATCTGTCTCAAAGATGACAAGAAATCACATATTATAATTAGTTTTAATAAATTTCGAGAAACAAAACTATAACATCACAGATATAGAAAGTATGCTTTCTAACTAACCTGTGCAACAGAACCCTGTGGACGATTCAGTGCGAATCGCTGAGAACCAACACCACCCCCTCCGCTAACAGCCCCCATATTTGGAGCAACTGGATAACGATTTGGTACAGGTGATGACAGTGGAAAACGTTGTTGTTGTTGCTGCTGACTACCACTTCGAAACTGATCTTGAGAGGCTTTTTTAGACGAACTACGACCTGAACCGATGCCGCCGCCGCGTGAATGTCCACCACGACCATGTTTATTCGGAGGTACAGGTGATGAACCACTACCATATGGTGACTTTTGATCAACATTTCTCATATTCTATAAACAGAAGAATGCAATGCAGAAAAACGATTAGAACAGTAGTGATGAAATATTTCGAGGTGAATACATCATTTACACAACTAAAATAGACGTGTACCCACCTACCGCCTAGTAGAATACATCATATTTCAATTCCAGTGTACTATTAGAGTGTAAAAAGCAGTTAATTTAACAACTATAAATGATTCAGCCAAAAAAACACGTATTAATGTTGTATAGACGCCATAGAACAAAACATAAACAAAGAAATTATAAATACATATTTAATGAATGTTTTCCCTATGTCTCAACCACAGTTTTACTTTGTCTGTACGTTAAATGCTCGACATATCTCAATTTTTCTTCGACGACTTGTTATCCGAATCCATGAAACAAGCTCTAGAAACAAGTATCAACAAAATTAAAAGAACGCTAATCGATAATACACCAAAAGTGGGTAAAATCGTGTATCTGGTAAGAATAAAATCAGCTGAGAGATCAGTACTTCCAGACTGATAAAAACCTTTTAACCTTATTGCCTTACGGATCCAACCCTAATTAGTTAAGAAACAAAGGGGAGAAATTTAATACGGATTTGAAAGGACATTGGTGTTTCGATTAACATTAACAATCTTTATATTACTGAAAGATCATACTAAAAACAACTATAATTCGAAGAATAAGTTATTGAAAAAAAACCAGATAACATGGGGAATTCATAGAATTAATAACTTAAAAACAAATAATTTTACACGACTATAAGTTTTAACACTATATGCAATCAGTAATTTTCGAGGCATGAATCTAGAAATCATCATATAAGTGAAGGTAATCGGTAAATATTATTAGATATTAATTTAATACAACATGATAGAGGTTTGTAGTCATTTTCGTGCTACATTTTTTTGAATGTGAGAACTAGGGATATAGTATCGATACCTAAACCGAAGCGTTATGTAACATCGAGTTTAAAATTGCTATATGAAGGCTAAAATGAATGTGTTTTAACCACAGATATTACTGCTGCAGTTAAATAAACAACAGGAACAGGATGAAAAAAGGGGAGAGGTAAATTTTTGTGATATGGTTTGCTATGAAAGTTGTATGGGACTGGAATCTGTCAGTTTATCACGATTTCCTGCTTAGGGTCATAGAGATGGTAGAACTCAGGGGCTTAAGACGTTATCAGATATGGAACAAAATAGAAACGAATGGTAATCCGATTGTAGTTTTCTTAGTTGTATTTTTAATTAAACTGAATTTCCTACTACAAACTACTCTTGTTCGCTTTCTTTCATTATTTATTTTGATTATACTCTCCCTGCCTGTCTCCTTCCTCTATCTCTCTACAATCACATTTTCTTATATGTGTGACATATATTTGTTTCGGCACTCATTTTTACAATTACATCTTCCATGCAGTTAATTATGAGTATTCCTGTTGTCTTTATTTTTTCTACCGCTGGAAGAGCTTTCATACTTGACTTGATTACTATTCCGCTTGGCTATGGACAACATTTATGATCATATCTTGGTTTATACATAATACCAAATAATATAAACTATCAGTCTTCAAAATATTTCAGTAATATTTACTAAATAAAAGACTCTACACACCGAATACTAACTAGATAAGTCAAATGAAATTGTAAAATTCAACGAAATCAATGAGTACTGGTGATTATTTATGTAATAACATTAAATAGCGGTGTGTTATACTCAAATGGGATCAGCGTAAGAAGGTTGCGGAAATCACTGGATTGACTTTAGTTGAACAACCATTGAAAACCAGGAAGCACCGGAAAGTTATTCTGTCCTACTATGGGACTTCTCAGCAGTGAGCCTCCACGACCCCATCATGGTCTAACTCAGCACTTTTAGAACCCACGGCAACTGTTATTTATTTGAACACAAGTATTGACACAAACGGGCACCAAATACATATGCGCCACACAAGAACAATGAGAATGTGAAGAGATAGAGAATGTAAGGTGCGTATAAGAAAAAGGGGAACAATAAAGAACGGAAATTAGTGTATGATAGTGAAATAATAACAATAATGAGAGGGGCAGTTCAGTTAGCACATGTACAACCAGAAATAATTCTTCCAGTTAAAGAAGTTACATCCATTTTTTATGAAGAAAGTAAAATAAAGCTACAGCAGGATCGCCACTGGCTTCTATTCTGGGCCATATCTGATAACATCTCAAGCCAATGTGTTGCATTATATCTAAGACCCCAACCAGGGAGTCATGAAGGGCCGACATATGCTAGTGATGTACAATGTCCTATCATACCAAGACACCATGGTCACACACTGACCACCTCTTCACTTTTCCAACTAGTTCCAGTAACGGCGAATAACGCGCGATGTGGAATTCTCTGGAAAGACATTCGTGGTACATATCCAAGCCACAGAAGTTGATGTTTCAATGTGGTGACACCAAAATGAACTATCGTCACTGTTCCCGAACACATGATGCTGAACCTCTGAATTACTAACAACGTGTTGCCACTGGATGTCAGAAATCCTTCGGAGACAACGATGATCAAACACAGAGAGTCGTCTAACATCCTCAACTCGGAGAGGTCAGGTTTCACAAGCATAGAGCAAAACTGCTCTCACCGACGCGTTGTAGATCTGACCTTTTACAGTCAGACTAACATCACGAAGGTGCCAAAGATGGCCCAGATTGGCATGAGCCGCTCTGGCTTTCATTATATGTGAATCGGTCTCATAACTCTCGCCACCACTAGCACTTACACACCTACCCAGATACACGAACTTCTCCACTACTTCTATCCGCTCACTACCCAGGGTGAGTGCAGGAACAGGGTCGCACCAGTCTTGTAAAAGTACCTTGCACTTCGAAGGTGCAAAGCACATACCATACCTACGGACATTGATTGCCAACTGATTAAATGCGGCTTGCATGCCTTGGGCATTATCGCATAGTAAGACAATATCATCCACATACTCAAGGTCGAGAAGTCTTTCTCCAGGCAACAGATCCACACCACCAATACCTACATCCATCAGAGCTGTTTCCAGAACGTTATCAATGACAAAGCTGAAGAGAAATGGTGAGATCGAGCAACCCTGTCTAACCTCAGTGGAGAAAGGTGGTTTTACACCATCACTCTGCTTGAGGTATTTGTATATAGGGCTTTTAAGATATTATTAAAATCCTCAGGTACATCCTTCTTCAATAAACAATCCCAGAGAACAGTACTGTCCAACGAATCGAAGGCAGCCCTGACCTCAAGAAACACTACGAAAGTTAGTCTTTGATAAGTATGACGGTATTCTAACATTTGGCGGAGGGTGAAGATATGATCAATACAGCCTCGACCAAAACGAAAACCAGCTTGCTCCTCGCGAGTCAATCTTTCTCGGGTTTTGGGCAACCTACGAAGTATGACGGAAGCCGATACTTTGGACGCAATCGGATGTATACTTATTTCCCGATAGTTGTTACAAAAACGACGAGAACCTTTTTTAAAGATAGGGATGACTACCCACTTATTCCACGATGTTCGAACACTTTCTAACTGCCAAACCTTTGTAAAGAACCCAGTCAGTTCCTTAATCAGAAAGTCAAAACCATCTTTAAAAAGGGTCGGGAGTAAGTCACCTGGGTCTTGTGATTTATAGCGCTCCAAGAGTCGGAGTTCCTTGAGGACTCCCGCCTCGTTAGGTAGATTAGTGGTCACGACCGATGGAGGGCGGGACAGTCTGGTCGATGTTGCCAGGATAGCAGACCAGTTGAACTGCTCCTCGAAAAACTCTGCCCATCGCCCAGGACGTCAATAGATATTTTTGATCCCATTAGTTTCACACACTATTTCACTCACACCAGACCTCTTGCTGCCAGTGGCTCGGGTGAGTTGAAAGAGCTCCCGGCAGTTGCTAGATGCACCTGTTGCTTTCAACTCGTTAGCATGCATAGACCACCACGCTTCGCGATTTTCACACTACGCAACAGTCGTTGTTTGTGGTCAAACCCAAGGTCACCCGGAGCAGATCGACAGTCTTTGATTAGTTGCAATGACCTTTAAGAAACCCAGTGCTTATAGGCGGGACGTTTCGCGAAGCCATTTCCATGGCGTCGTGCAATTGTAACCAATGCTCATCTATACTTTTCCGTGGGATGTTAGCTGACCTTGAACCTAGCTCGTTTTGATATTTAGTCGCAACAGAAGCCGTGACCAACTTAATGACATCGATCCGTTTGGGACGATGAATTTTTTGGCCACTGAAACGTAAGGTAAGATTAGCGCAAACAATGACATGATCAGAGTCCAGATAGGTACTCCAAAAGGAGTGGCAATCTTGTACACAACCACGCCAGCGGTAGCTGATCGCGATGTGATCGATCATAGTCCAGGCTTGAGGAAGGGTGTCAGGTGGTATGTCGGCGATGACTATGTCGATAGTTAGTGCTAGCCAGAAACAGATTGTAGTCTGCGCACAGTTGCAGTAAACGGTCCTCGTTATCTAACCTGCGACCAACAAGTCCTCATCGGCCACCTAAACGACTCACTTCTCTTGCCTAGACACCCGACCTGAGCACTCAAGTCTCCAACTAGTACCACAATATCTGTCGAACGTGCCTTCTGTAGAAGAACTGTTAACTGGTAGTAAAACACCCCTGATCGAATCCGGGTTGCAATCTGTCGAAAAATAGGCGGAGATGATGAAAAGACATCGTCTCTTACACCGATTTTTTCTCACTTTGATGGAAATTTCTAATCTAACAGCACATAACTAACTGTTAATAGAGACCCAATCGATCAGTGCTGCCTCAGCTCTAGCGCTTAGCCAGACACCAACGCCAGCAAAACCAGAAGATGTCACAGGATCCCCAGATATACGCACGTAAAACAAGCTTTTCGAAGCGACAGCCGGAATCCCATTGTTGATATGTCTAACATCAACCAGTCGATGGGATTGTATGGCCAACCAATATTAACCTGGATACAACAACTAACCAATAAACTAGCAAACAAGCTTTTAACGAAATGGATTTACTCACTGAAACTTTGAAGATGTGTCAAATCTTCCTACTTACAAGTAGTTTAAATGAAAAACGATAAAGTTCTATATTGAAATTATATGTTCTATACAATTCATTCCTTTTCAAACTCCCTAGTTTTTAAGTTATTTTTAGCAAAAATTCGGTTTATAATGCAAACCATCTTTAAGAAATGAACCATTCTTATGAAACTTCTAATTTTAATAAATCTACGTTCAATCTTGCCTATCATGGTTATTATTTTCATTCTTTTGCTTTTATTTCGTTTATTTGTTCATTTGAAGTACAACCGATAATGAATATTTGAATTGTTTTGTACGTTGGTGATAACTAACTGCGACACGTTATTCGAAGTTTCTTCACTGTATTGAAACGAAGATTATGATGACGTGAATTAATCTGCTATACTTACTGGCAATAAAGCAATAAATAATCAAATTTAATAACTGTGGGCAGGTTTATGAACTTTGTCTGGGATATTGCAGAGAATAAAAGATAGATCAGTTATTAGAGTTAATCTTTAAAACGTTTTTCCAGCTCGCTAACACTTAAACTTTGTATGACTTTTTCAAGATATATTTAGATGTGAAAAAAATTACGCTACTGCGAAGATTCATAATACATTATATAACTAACTTATTGCATATATTCATCACAATAATTTTTGTGAAAGTATCTGAATTCGAAAGTAAAAACCGTTGAAACTGTCTTTGTCACACAAATGAGTTTATTAATTGAATTATGAACACCAATCCGTTAAATAAAAAAGTGACTCAATTAGAAATGTACCTCCATCAGAAGCTATTTATTTCCTGTACAGTGCTACTTAGTTCTAATACAAATCGTACTCATGTTATTAAAAAACTCTCATTTCTATTTACTTTCAGCATTGTTTATTCGATAATCTCCTCATATAAGGTCAGTGTTTCAAAAAAACACGATCGAAAGACTTTTTCTCTACGTTACCCAACTTTAATGACCATGTTTCATAATCTTATAATACTATACAGAGAATTATTGTGCACTATTTTTGTCCTTTCATAGACAATTAGGTAACTCGCCAGTATAACATAGGTGATGTAAATCGATAAGTGCCAAACGATACTTCTTAATTCATGTTAAGATTTGTTAAGAGATAACTGTTTTCAAGTTTATGAAACCCTGCAAATAACCAAAGTGATCCAGAGGTTACCTATTCCCCAACTAGATAACAGTGTGGACCGGTGACGTAGCATCAAATTATTTTTAACAGATGAGATATTAACGCCAAAATGTCTTGGACTTCTTCGAAACACACCTTTCCAATTTATATTTCTAGGGCTTATGAAAATTATGTGATAGCTGTAAATAAACATATAGGATTAGATTTTGACCGACAGAACTTCATTGCTCAGCAACCTAGTTTCTCATAATACATGAATGACCGCAGTAAGCTATCATAAGCCTCTTCTTTATTTTAAATGTATACGTCAACTTAATAAATTATCAAAATAAAACCGTTTTCCCATTTACATACCCTAATCTTGTACAGAAATAACTGTGAAAAAGTTTGCGACTTACAATTTGTTGAACGCTTATTCCAGTGGCTGCTTGCACGTTTGTTCCGCCCGATAATACTGTCGATAACTGGTGGGTAGACTGCAATGTATGGTGCATGAGTTGATTAGTTTGTACCAAGTATTGTTTACTTGTATGAATTTGTGACTGCTGATGTTGTGGGAGTGGGAGTGGTGGCTGTAGTTGTGGTGTATTCGTACAATTCACTATATTATCATTTGTAGTAACAGTGATATTTGCATTAGAAGTCAAAGCAGTAGTACCAATAACTTCGACGACAATATTATTGTTATTACCATGCATTATTGAATCATTAGCTAATGTAGAATTGATAATTAAATTATTTTCTTGCTTTATCGAGTCATTTATAGAATTATTAGCATGACATAAATCTAGTTCCTTAGGCTCATTTAATTGTTGTTGTGGCTGTTGGGGCTTCTTTAAACAGGTTTGTTTAGACGGGGATGATAATGATGTACAAATTAACAAATCAGGATGATATGATGTACATGGTAATAAATTATTTTGTGATAAGCAATCAACAATCCAATCAGGTGTAACTATAAAGGGTTTCGAACTATCCTCATTAATAGCAGCATTGTCATTCGCCAATTTATTAGTACAATATTTGTAGAAATTCTATATAAATAATACCAAAAGATATGAAAATTACTAATGATAAAAGAGCTATATAAGTATTTTGGGAAAAATGTGGTACAAAGGACATTTACTAAGAATGCAGAATTAAATGTAAGATTCCTAAAACTGTACTAAAAAAACAGCCAGACAAAAAAGTATCTGAGTAGTGTAAATAACTTACCTGAAATTATGAAGGTAGCATAAATTGGTGGGTAGAAACTTATACTTTATGTGTTGAAGCTACCTTCTCGTACCGACCTACTAACATACCGTTTACAAAACATCAAAAAAAGCTATACTCCGCCTAGCATAGAAACTCACAATGTTTAAAAATGCAGACAAATTATAGCCTCTGATATCGAGGAATAGTAAACACTCAACATTTTCATTCAAGGATCTTAAAGAAAACTCGGACAATGAACTTACGCATTTAGCCATACTAACAAAATAGATAAAAAGGCAGGAATACACATGATATACTTACTCCCGCCGCCTTGGCAACAACCACATGAGTAACAGACTTATCCAAGTAATGACACATTTGACCTCCATGTATAGTAACATGAGCCCATATTGAAAGCTGATCGGCCACACTCAACTAAAATTATTAAAAGTATAGATGGCATCAAAACAAAAATTTTCACATACTCCACTGCATGTAATTACTGTCCCTGCGAATATATGTTTAAAGTCCGGATGAAAAGGACGAAATCTGTAAGATTTTTTAAATAGGAAAAATTATCAAAGCTTACGGCAAAAATTTTTGTGCTTCAACAGAGAGTTTTACCCAATGACTCTAAATCAAGTTAGCGAAAAGGGAATAAATACATTACAGTAACAACTGGGACAGCATACAATTCTTCCGCCTCACCAACTTCCGCAAGAGATGGGTCATCACTGATAGCAAAACGTACACTTTCTGATAGGAAGGGATGGCTCACAGCACCCAAAGACTTAAGAAGATCAACTACCTAAATTCCGAGTGGATAAAGAACAGACAAAAACAAATGAATGAGCAACTTTGAGGACAGGATAAATTACCTTTTCATATATATTTTAATAAAGCCTTTAGTAAACCCTTTCACATCGATATTTTCTGCACCTGAGTGAAACTTAGGTAACTATGACGATTTTTTGTGGTACTCATGGTTCAGATCCAGTATTTAAAATGCCTATACTGTTTGGTATGCCTTTCAACGTGATCCCCGTAAAACCTCTTGGTTGAGATGCCATCTTCATATCAATGTATATAGTTATATTTTTAGGTAGATCTAAATTCCAGAAACCGTCGAAGAGTATATTCAAGTCAGTAGATATGCCTCCAAAGACTAAAACTAGCACAGGCTTCAACAAGATCTACAAGATGTGTTACTTTAAAGAACAAAAGATACGATCCCGTAAGCTTGTATAGTTACCATATGTTGTGGAGATTAAATATGCAGCTGTCACCGTAACAATGGTGTTTATAAAGACTCTGAACATACGGTATTTTGCAAACTAAGGTCAAATCTAAGCTGAACGAATTGCTAAGCTGCTATTAGGATTTTCTGTTTTCTCAAGATGTTCTAAACGGCTAACTTGATCTTAGATACATTCGGAATAATTCTAACCTGGAGATTAGATTGAATGAATCTTTCTATTGCAACTTTTGTGTCCACTAAGATGCAAAACGTATGCACCAGCCTCAGAGCATGATAGGGATTCATAAATTCTGCACAGCATTTAGCAATACGTTGCTTGTCAGCTGTGAAAATTAATATATGATAGTAGGAGGCAAGAGTAAGTTGCAAGTACTTGATCGAATATGTTAGACATCGGGTATCACACAAAGATAGTAAGCAGGTTGATGAATTTTTAAGCTTCTATCAACTAAAGTGAGTAGAATATCTACCATTCAAACTCACCCACCACCAACACGAATGACTACGGCTGCTTAGAAATGAGTGGGCAAACACACATGGCACTAGTTAATAAAACAATTGGCTGTTCTCTAAGACAACGATGGAACCTGTGAAGGAACAGTAATCTCTGAGTGTGAATCTGAGTAAACAGTGGGTAGAAATCAGTTGTATTTAGTCAGTTATACTAAACATACGCTACATAAAAATATACAATAGCTCGAGTGTGGATGGATTGACTAATCACCTTTCTTTAGATTTTAAGCTTTGTCACTACATAATTGAGTTACTCTTGAAAATTTTCAATTAAAATGGGTCAACAGTAGCTCTGAAGCACATTAGTATTTCGCTTTATCCCTTAGTTTGATTTGTAAAACTGAAACGACTTGACCTGGTAAAGATGGTTGTTTCTGAAGTGAGTTCAAAACTATGCATTTGATGCGATATCAGTCTGTCACTAGTCAAGTCGTATGACATTTTTACATGGTCTCTGTCTGGATGACATAGGGATCTGCCCCTACTAGACAAGAGGACTCGTAAAGAGGAAGTCGTTTAGTTTACATTCACCACAAATGGGACCTGCGTATACAACCTTAAGTCCAAAAATTGGTGTATAACCACGTGATTCCAGAACACCAAAAAAGTGCTCTAATAAGGAATATTGCTAAAAGTATAATGTCATACTGTGCCGAACGTAATACAACAGCTTTGAAATGTACAGTCGAAGACATCAGAAAGCACATTTCATTAGTCAAATTACAGTGGCGACATCCGGCCACAAGGACGTAAAATCAGGCAGAAAGCAGAGCAAACACATACCTCTTTGTCATTACAGGAAATGATGAAGAATTTCGCATCTTTAAAGACACTCTGTTCCATAGGAAACGCCTAGTTTATCTTCAGCGCCAACAGCATCACTCAAAAGTTGCGCGTAATTGGTCATGAAATTAACTAAATCCTAGCTGGTCTACATATCATCATTGCCTCTGATTAAGCGTATTCATGTAGATACGTTTATGATGATTTTCGAAACAGAGTTTGAGGTATCGCGAATGTCAAGAGTACAGCTTCACGTGTACTGTATCATGGAATACCTTTACAAATCCCTTAGACATAACAAATCATGATATTATGTTGTGATTTAAGTGTCCGAAAAGATTAAAGCTACAGATTAAACATAACAAGTCCTTCAAACTATTTTTTGCCTGTGAACTAGGACCTAGAAATAGGCCTGAATGTCCCTATTTACCCACTTTTCCCTAGTTTGTGAACTTGCTACAATAATATTCATAAGCCTATGGTCCCCTTGTAATCGGATTTACACTGAGATGGAATGTAAGTGACGTTTTACCTGCTGGATTGCTTTTATTGCTAAAATACCTAAAGTTGTGAGGAGTGTACTATATATATTTGGGGGATAATAATCAAAGCCCAATTTTACCTGCTGCCGTCGTAGACACTAAACTATCAATAATACCCTTAATGACTGTAGCACTAAATTAAAGGTCTATATGGTTTCTCCAAGAAAAAGTTCCACAGGTAAAAGTAGTCGGAGGAAATCCTTTTTGACCTGGACGGCTAAGTATTTCATATAAGATTCCAGGATCATTGAAGACACTTGCTAGAAACAAATGTTGTGTCTTCTCACGGTTGACGGAAGATCATTTGATGTCTGGAAGTACTTCGCTTTCACAGCCGTCAATAAACTGAGAGCGATTAAGAATAACTGTAAAATCAACTGTATTATCATTCATTTAAATATAGCTAGATAGTACACCAAAGTGAGCGGTAAAGTCTTTTGAATAAACAAAGTTTGTGAATTTTTTCATTGTCAAAGGACGTAAATTTTCTCATCGCAGCATTATTTGCTCTGCGGTTCAATGAGTTCGACAAAGTACTGCAAATTTATGGGTGTTAGGTGAATGAAGTTTATTCCGACCAAACTTCCAAAATTGTCAACAGTATCAAAAGGAAACAATGATCCCAAGTTTAAAAAAACAGTATATCCACTAATATTCAGGCGCTATTGCTAAAAGGTATTATTAAGTTGTTTAGTGTGTAGTAACTTCTACTTACGCCAAATATTCTTTCAGGTAATTTTAACTCACAGTACTATGATAAATTCAAAAAGTTAATAAAATAATACTAATACTCCACAAAGTACACCACTGTGATAAAAACCTACAGATTGTGAAAAATAATTTACGGACAAAGAATAAATATTATTTGATTTGAGTCTGGACCATTTTAAAATGGTTTTTGAATCTGAACTTGGCACCAACCCCACGGGAGATAATTAAACTTAAAGGTGGGTTATTGTTACAGTATTTGTAACAATCGCTAGCAAGCTGCTGACCGAAAGAATCAAGCAATAGAAAATATTGTCACTTTGAAACCATTAGCCCATGGTTGATAATTCTTTTGTTTTATGTAGGTGTCATATAGCTTTTTTCTTCTGTTTACTAACGAAAAAATCCTGATTGGTAATTTTAGTCCTACTGGCTCCGTTCACACCCAAAGATACTCTGAATATACACATATATCCTATCAAGCTGGTCTGTTTCGTCTACTCTTAACGAGTGTAGGTCAACAAATATGGAGATTTTAGGGCTAACATATGCATACCAAATATGTCTGACTACAATTCAAATACGATACACTTCAAAAACCGACATGGCATAAAAGCTAGCTCAAGGTGTTTCAGTGGATTTTTACGTGTTATCATGGTATTTGTTAAATTCGTAAAATAAGCACTAGGGTTAATGATCTGATGCAAACTTTTACTGGGAAAGCATGTACGTCTATCTAAATTTTTTATATGGCGGATTACTATACTAACTGGTAGAATGACATGAGTATCAAAGAGATGACTTAGTGATGAATGTAAACCAGAATACTGCTTCGGTGCAGAATGGTTTTGCTGCTAAAGATTCCTAACATTTCGGGGTTGAAAGGAATGATTGTCAGTAGCATCATTTTATGGAAATTGACTGTTTGAAGCTATTTCATCCTTCCCTGTAATACGTAGTGTGATGATAAAATTAACAGATGATACAGAGTCGTTGACGAGGACAGTTGCGTTTATTCGTTCGTAACCATGGTTTCTACGCTATAAACTGATATGAAATCAGTTTATTCCATAGTTCACTTCATCAGCTTACAATCAAAATTGGAAAGCCTGATGTCCGTTTTTATATACAGATCATATTGCGGAATCTGCTTTAGAAGAACGAAAATTCCGTAATAAATTCATAAGTTGTGAGTCGCCGCCAATTGTACTAAAATGGAAATAAAAAGTTGAGTTACAGTAATGCTTTTGACAATTACCCAATAAAATATTATATATGAAAGTAAGTATGCAACCGCGTGTATGTAACATATATATGTACTGAACACCACAGGTTCCCAAATATCAACGTTTACTCTTAAACAAAGTGTTCCAATATTTCCTATTATATATAAAGGAATTCCGTGTAATCACGTTACTAGTTATCTCTTGTTCATATCTCAGTACACAAGCTCAGTTGTACCTATTGCCCTTGCTTGACAGATTTTAACCAGGATGTCGTAAATTGATGTCCATCAAATAGTGGCTTGACCTCTATTTTCCTCAAGACTTTTAATCATCCCTTCATATGAGGTCATGAACTACCATGGCTAATGAAGACATCAATAGACCGTTATTGTGTTAACATCAACAATCATAGTGGTTAGCAGACGAGTATCACGTTTTCTGGAGTAAATGTACTACATGTATGTCCTCTATGGATTGAACGTCAATTTCAGACTGAAGCCTGCAGTTTTCTTTTATGACAAGATCTCAATTTAACATATTCGTGGTATGTATGATCATATTCATATAATATTTCAAACTTATATAATTATATATTCATTTCGACGATCTAATAGAATCATATTCCATCACTTTTAAACCGTATATGATCATATTTAACGAAGAATTGCATTCCGTATTTGAAATACTATTCCTTATATCGCGTTTGGATGCTATAACACACATACTTTGTGTATTTACAGAATCTGTACAGACGTCTGTCTAACAGTAAAAATTTATAATTATGTATAATGAAGCACTTTACCCACTAAACACACTATTCTATGTAATATCTTTTAAATTGTATTTGAATGCCATAAAACATCTATTTTCCAAAGTTACCAGATCAATTCGATAAGTCTGTCATGGTTTTTGGTCAGTAGTTTTATCTGAAAAGCTGTTTCATATATATTGGCCATGAAGCATCATAATAATACCACATGTTAAAAATCTTTGAAACTACCTAGCTTTGTACCCTTCAGTTTTAACTGATGCAGATTTCCGGTTTACACATGTACCACATACCGCACCTACTTTGATTGTTTGATGCCAATTACCAACAGTTCTAGATTACTTTATGATAAAATTCTATCTTTCCGTGTAATCTACATGTTAAAATTTACTCAATGTGCACATTTTTATTCTATTTTGAACCTATACATGTACTGACATTCATGCCACATCTTCACTACGATCTTCCTACCACTGCCCCCTCTTCTATTTGTCATCTTCACTAATTTTTATGATACATCCACTCTCGTCTCATGAACAGGTTTTAATTTCTAAATTATCTTGAGGCCTCAGCCATGATTTCTGAACCCTTTTTCTACTCACAACACTTTGTTCAATCCATCTGCTACTTATCGTTTTCCAATCATGCTTCAAAAGGAATTTAAAGCCTCTGATTCTAGGCGTCCAGTCAAAAGTAGGAAAACGACACGATCTGAAACCATTAAGGACACGATTCCTGACACTTCCGAAGAATTGAGCTACTCCGTTCACCCAGAAGCAGATAACCCTATACCAGTTCTCTCCATACCAGACATATTAAAGACTCTATTGGTAAACACTGATGATAATCACCCCTGTAACCATACGCATGACATAAGAAAGTTGCTAGTTGGCATGAATATTCTCAATCGCATAAGTTTCTCATCAACCCCGACTTGACGGAGACTTCATATCAGATGAACGACACTAATAATTTCCTTGATTATGTTGCTTTAGAGATGTTTTAGAGAATAAAACGATCTAGAAATACAATTGTGTTTAATATCCCGTACAAATATGCCCTAAAAATACCAAGTCTAATCTGCTTAAAGCTACAAAATATGACGCATGTACCATTTGTGTGCACAAGATTATAAAGAAGTCACCGTATTATTCACCGATCATGTTCCAATTCAACTCATCTATAAACACCAATGAGTTTCTAAATTTCTCCAATACGATCAGACAGAATCAGGCTTTCAAGAATGTTAAGATCCTTCCAGATAGAACACCGTGCCCGAGAAAATCATGAAGAGCTAGTTACAGACTACTAGCGTCAAACTCCCAAACGCATCGTAATCTTGAAGGTCATAAAATGAAACCCGATTCTAATAGAATCTCTGGCTTTTCAAGAAAGCCACCACTGATAAACTCTCCTGGATCTCTTGAAGTCCAGAACCCAGAAGAAAATAACCCTAATGTGGGTGGTGTCCATCCTCCTAGAAATGTTGATTTAGATATAACATTAGGCAGTTGTGTTGGTAAGGAATCACACTATGCAGTTCAAGTTCCTGTCATTGCAATACCCAATTACAGACCCTGTGCGACGGTTAACGGGAAAAAGTAGTCATAATATTTACATAACTGACCACGCATTGAACGTCCATATATTATAACCTTGCAAAGCATCACAAGTATGTTTAACAACACTCGATTTTCCTCAAATTATGAAGGAGGTAAAACAAACCATAAACCTTGAAAATAAACGTTTAGAACATGTTACACATACACCAGGTGTAAAAAGTAATTTGAATTACAAACAGCATCTTAATCATACACATAGACCTGATAGCATTCCTGGTCCGGCTAACAAGATGT